ATCCAAACACACACGTGCGGGCAGAGCGCTGGATCTGTGGCCAGAGACAGGTGCGTTCAAATCCCAACTCGCCAATGCTGACTTTGGGCACGTGACTCAGCCTCCCTGTACCTCAGCCCTCGGATCTGTAAAATGGGGGTAATTACAGTGCCACCTCCCCCACACAGTTGTCCTGTGGGTTCAGAGTTCATATAGCACATAAAACTGAACCCTCGATGTCATCTTTTGCTATGATTCTTGAATATTTAGGTTGTTTCCAATTTATCTGTTACAACACAAATTACTCTGGGGGATCCACTGAGGCCAGGCGCATTCAGGACATTATTACCTCATTTATTTTATTTATTTATATATTTATTTTTTTTTATTTTTATTTTTTTTGAGACAGAGTCTCGCTTGTTGCCCAGGCTAGAGTGAGTGCCATGGCGTCAGCCTAGCTCACAGCAACCTCAAACTCCTGGGCTCAAGCAATCCTACTGCCTCAGCCTCCCGAGTAGCTGGGACTACAGGCACGCGCCACCATGCCCGGCTAATTTTATATATATATATTAGTTGGCCAATTAATTTCTTTCTATTTTTATAGTAGAGACAGGGTCTCGCTCAGGCTGGTTTTGAACTCCTGACCTTGAGCAATCCGCCCGCCTCGGCCTCCCAGAGTGCTAGGATTACAAGCGTGAGCCACCACGCCCGGCCTATATATTTATTTTTTGAGGGTCACTCTGTTGCCTGGGCTAGAGTGAGTGCTGTGGCGTCAGCCTAGCTCACAGCAGCCTCAAACTCCTGGGCTCAAGCAATCCTCCTGCCTCAGCCTCCCGAGTAGCTGGGACTACAGGCATGTGCCACCATGCCCGGCTAATTTTTTCTATGTACTTTTAGTTGGCCAATTAGTTTCTTTCTATTTTTAGTAGAGACGGGGTCTCACTCTTGCTCAGGCTGGTTTTGAACTCCTGACATTGAGCGATCCACCAGCCTCCGCCTCCCAGAGTGCTAGGATTACAGGTGTGAGCCACCGCACTCGGCCCTATTACCTCATTTAAAGTAGGGCCACCCTAAACACCGGTCAGATGAGGCAAGTGGGGAGGAGGGGAGGGGACCCCAGGGTGCACAGGCACCTGCGACTGAAGCCTGGGGTGCTCAAGCTCGTCTTCTTCCAGGAGCTCAGAGTGTGGGGGACGCCTACTGGCAAGAAGTCCACGGCCACCTCCCCACTGTGACCACCCAGAAAGCCAGAATATGGCTGACTGCAAGGGCAGGCAGGGAAGGCCCCTCCCGGTGCCCGCGTACCCTGCCTGTGTGACAACACTAGAGCAGGGAGGGAGTGGGGCCTGGCTAGAGCCATCTCTGTCACTGAGAGTCACCACAGCCCCGAATACCGAGCTGTCTGCCAGCTCCATGCCACACACCTTGCATGCACTAATGCATTTTATCTTCACATCAACTTGTGACGTGGGGACTGCTGATATCTCCATGAGGAACCTCAACCAGAGAGAGAGGAGGCGATTTGCCAGGGCCCCCAGCCAGGGAGCGTAGGAGTCAGAACCAGGACGGAGACCCAAGACCTGACCTCTGCTGCTGGCCATCACGCTGCACCTGCTGCTGTCCCTGGGTGCTGCAGAAAGCTCCCGTAGCCTGGCGTGGCACCCTGCATCTCCTGGAGCCAGACAGTGGGCTTCCCCTTTTCTCACTGTGCTCAGAAGGGGTCTCCTCACTGGGTGGGGGCTCCCTCCAGCCACCTTAGTTCCCACTTGGGTCAGGAGGCCTGGGCCCCTCATATAGCAATTCCCTGGCTAGACCCAAGGAACTGCTGAGGTCGCAGTGGCAGGGAGCGTGGGGATGGAAAGGAAGCGAGTCAGCGCCTTTTCTCAGGAAGCTACAGCCTCTTGGTCCTAATGTCACCAGCCATGGGCAGAGGCCCTGGAGCTGGGGACAAGGGCGCCGCAGATCACTGTCTATCCAGCTCACTGCACTATCTCCAAGGCCTGGCACACAGTGGCTGAAAACCTCTTCCCATGTCTTGGTGACCCACCTTGATGACCATGAGCACAACTGATGTTGGAAGTATTCACCTGATGCCCTGTCACCTCACCGGGAAGGCCCCACCCCAAATTAACATACAATCCTGGTAACTGTACCTCTGCGATGCTAGAGACATTTCAGATAAAGTCTTTATGCTCCCAGCCACCCCTCAATTGGACTGTACCCCCAACCTCCTCTTACAGATCCTCAACACGCCACTGCGGTTTATCACACATTCGTACCTGTCATCCTCATAACTCCCTGGCAAGGTAGGGCATATTGTCCCTATTTTACAGATGAGGCTGAGTGACGCTGGGCAAGTGAGTTAACCTGTCTCTGCTTGCCTATAAAATGGGGCTAATGACACTCACTCCATGGGCAGCTGTCCTGACTAAATGCCCATAAACCTCCCAGCCCAGGGCCTGACGTAATATATGACAGTGACTGTTCTGAGGCTGAGAGTCTAGCATCTCAGCCACCCCAAAGCCTTGCTCTCACTCCCTTTTCCCTGGGTTAGGGAGGAAATGAGGTGGGCAAATCCCAGTGTGTGTGTGAGGGTGGAGTGGGGGTGTCTTGAGGAAGGTACCTTGGTTTGTGGGTCCAGGGCACTGGGTGGGTGGCCCCTGACCTTGCACAGGGACCACGTGCAGCTTGGAGCTTGGGACACTCTGAGACACACCTGAACCCTGAACAGAAGGGCCTTGCTCTGAGGGCCACCACGCATAGGGCCTGTCACCTAGAATCCAAGCATGGGCCCACCTCCTGTTGGAACAGCACTAAGGGAAGGGGTGTCCAGGGCTGAAATAAAACTTGACCTCATTGGTATGAATGGCAAGGACCCAGCAGGGGTGCCCCTGGAGTCACCCTTGGAGGGCACACATTCAAATTTTGGGGTCAGTGCATCTGGGCTGGGGCTCAGAGATCCTGGGTTTAAGAAGCTCTCCTTTTCAAGCACTTTGAGACAGACTGTGCTGAAGACAGCATCTCCTGCCACACCCAGCTTCCTCTCCCCATCCCACACTGAGCCACGAAGGTGCTTCCCCCAAAGCAGAACATGTGTCCACTACAGGATCAAATCCAAATTCCCCAACGCAAGGCCTCAGGTTACTCCAGGAACTACTTCTCAATGCCTCCTTCTGCCTCCTGACCCCTCAGATAGGAATTTCAGGCCCCCAGGCTTCTGCACATGCTTCCTCTAGGAGTGTCCTCCCCCTCCGGGGCCTGGTAGGGAGATAGGAAGACTCACTTCTAAAGGGCCCTCTCAAAGTGGCCTTGCAAGAGCCAGCTGGACAAGACCTGCCACCTCCCCCTTCCCCTGTCCACACACCTAAAAAACGCCACCAAAGTCCTCAACAACCAGTGCCCTTTAAACACACTCCCCTCCCTTACCTGAGTCATGCACTTCTTATTCTAGGGGTCTACACACACCAGCCGCACACGAAGATTCATATAAAGTTAGGGGGCATGTAGGGAGAAGGAGAGAGTGAGGGAGAAAGAGGAAATAGGAGGGAGGAAGAGAGAAAGAGATGGGGGAAAGAGGAAGAGAGGAAGAAGGGAAGGAGAGAAAAGCTGTGAGCTCAAATAGCCAAGAGCTGAGGAGAAAAGCACTCTGGAACTGACCTGCCTGACGTCTACTAATCTGGAACTTCTGGGCAGGGGACCGAGCCTCAAAGTTCTAATCTGTAAAGTGAGGGAATAACACACGTACCCACCTCCTCAGCCGACTGCAGAATAAAATGAGACAGTCCAGGCCAACCTGGACTAGAATGGTGCCTGGCTGGCATAGCATAAACATTCCACAGCAATGGCCAACGATGGCCTTTTTTTTTTTTGACAAGATCTCACTCTGTTGCCCAGGCTGGAGTGCAGTGGCATCGTCATAGCTCACTGCAACCTCAAATTCTTGGGCTCCAGTGATCCTCCTTCATCAGCTCCAGGGTAGCTGGGACTAGAGCACATGTTGCCAAGTCCGGCTGATTTAGTTTTTTTGTAGAGACAGGGTCTTGCTATGTCACCCAGGCTGGTCTCGAACTCCTGGCCTCCAGAGAACCTCCCACGTGGGCCTCCCAAAGTGCTAGGATTACAGGTGTGGGCCACCACGCTGGGCAACGATGGCTATTATTCTGTTCTCGCTGTAGCCCCCGCTGGCTCTAGGCACACAGGAGACTTCAGGAAGTGTTGAATGGACACGACCTGCCACCCCACTTCCAAATCCAGACTCCCACTCGCACATCCAGACACCTGCCATAAGCACAGCGTGGGAGGGGGCGATCTGGCTTCCCTTCCCCGCAGACCTGGGGAGAACGTGGAGGAAGGAGGGTCCTAGCCAGGGGACACCATCCACGCCAGGCCTCCAGGTCCTCGTCCACGACTCCCTCCAGGTGCGTCAGCCCAGCGCGGGCCGCCTGTTTAGACGATAATGACAGGGCAGCCGCTGGGGCCAGCGCCGCGGGGCCCCCTTGCCCGGCCCGCCCCGGGAAGACAAAGCCGTCGGAAACCAGTCGGCAGGACCAGAAGGGGAAAGGAGACCCAGGCCCCAAGCCCTGGACGGGTCGCGCTCGAGGTGGGGGCGACGAGGACATGGGCCCCCAAGGGCCATCATGCCCGGCCGGGAGGCTCGCCCCAGGACCTCGCGCCCAAAGGAGGGCGCGGGAGCCCGGGCGGCCCAGGGGCTGGAGGAGGGTGCTGGAAAGCCGAGCCAGGGACGCCCCGGAGTCCCGACCCCAGCCCTGGGGTTTGCCACCAGCCCCCGAGCCGGCTCACCGCGTCCAGGTCCGCCGCCAGGGCCGGGCTTCTGGGCTCAGTCCCAGCCTGGTCAGCTGACCGCGCGCCGCCGCCCCGCCCCGGAGCCGCGGGCTCCGCCCCCCACGCCGCGGGCTCCGCCCCTCACGCCGCGCGCCGCCGCCGCCCCGCCCCGGAGGCGTCCCCGCGCCCCTCCTCGGTGCCCCTCCCGCGGCGTGGGCGGGGCCAGGGCGCCACAGCGCGCATGCGCCGGCGTCATGCTCAGAGCGGTGTCTCGCGCCGTCGGCCGCGCCGCCGTTCGCTGCGCGCGCCGCTGTCCGCCGCCGGAGGCTCGCTCGCTCGCCATGGCACGGCCGCCGCCGTCGCGGACCGCCTCAGGCGCCCCGGTCCGGCCCGGCACGGTGCTGGGCACCATGGAGATGGGGCGCCGCATGGACGCGCCGGCCAGCGCCGCGGCCGTGCGCGCCTTCCTGGAGCGCGGCCACACCGAGCTGGACACGGCCTTCATGTACTGCGACGGCCAGTCCGAGAGCATCCTGGGCGGCCTGGGGCTCGGGCTGGGCGGCGGCGACTGCACAGGTAACAGTCGCCCGGGACCGCCCCGCACCGTGCGGGGCTGATCCTGTCCCCAGCCGGGCACCGACCGGACCGCGGGCAGCACCGACCTCCCGCGGCCCACCCCGCAGCGCTGGCACCTCCAGGCTCCTCAGGCGCATCTAGCTCCGGACAGCAGGACAGTGCTTTGCCGTGCCTGACTGCTTTCCTCTCCCTCCCCTGCGAGTTGCAGCTCGGGAGCCCCCCCCAGCCTTGACTGGCCATTCTTCGCTTCCTACCTCCATTCCTTCCCCGCCTCCAACCCTGCCAGATGCCAGTAACCAGTCCTCACCTGGGCTCTCCGCCTGTCCCCTACCCCCCACCCCACTGCCCTCACCTCCCATGCACTCCGAGCACCCTTTTCTCATGCTGGTCTTTGCTCAGTCCCTAGACTTTGCCCTGTTCAGTTGACAGTTTCTCTGGCTCTCTCAGGGAGAACTGTAGCTGCACCATAGGCCGCGCTAGGGGAGTAGGGGTGGTGGGGAGGTGTGAGAGAGCGGGTAAGGCCTTTCTGTCCATCCTGTGCCAGGCTTTGACATGGGGCTATAGGAGGAAATGTGACTCTAACTCCCCCCAGAGAGCTCAGTCTAGTTGGGAAAACTGAAGCAGTGATTGCTGGAGAGCCCAGAAGAGAGAGCACTTTTGGGGGCTGGGTGGCCAGGGAGAGGCCCTAGGGAAGGCTTAGGGAACGCTAGAGCTGGGCCTTAAAGGCTGGGGGGAGAATGGAAGAGAGAAGCATGGTGTCTGAGGGCACAGCTGTGCAAAGACTTAGCTTGGAAATGCAGAGTGCATGGTGTATGTACAAGGAAGGCAGGTGTGGCTTGAGTGGGACTGTCCTTCATTAGCCTGGTGCCATTGGTAGTGCCTGGCACACAGTGAGGGCCCAGTAAGCACTGGCTGTTGTCATTATCATACTTCGCCTTCCTGAGGCTCTTGCTCTCCATCTCCACCGAGAGGCCCTCTCTAGGTCCCCCTTAGCTTCATGGCTTGGTGGCTCTGGAGGAACAGAAGCGGAACGTGTATCTCAGGCCCACGCTTTATCTCGGTCACTTGGCTGCCTCTTGTTGATAAGGAAGATTTTGTTTCTGAATTGGTTTTTCTTCTCCAGCTGTTCCCTGCTTCCTTCTTTGAGGCCAGGGTCTCACTGGGTCAAAGTCCTCAGATCAGACCTGAGCCAAAGTTCACACCAAAAAGGCCCAAGGTGGGGGTTGGGGGTTGGTGGCAGAAGGGAGAAAATCTGGACAAGAAGCTGTAGAACTTGAACTTGTTCTTTCTTGTATCTCAAGGGATCTCATCACACCCCTCTGACCTGCTCATTTGGCTTGGCCAGTAGGAGAAGTGTACAGTCCATTCAAAGTCCACACAGCTGGGGTTCTTTCTAGGGCAAGGAACAGTGCCAAATTAACTCACTTCCAAGCTGCTTAGGTGGCAGATCACTGTCTCATGGGGATCTGGTCTCTACACTGCATGTATGTTTGTGCATGCCTCTGTGAGTCTGGAAGGGGAGGGGAATTATAATCACCTTCTGTTCAGGTTGCCTCTAACAGTCTCTCAAACTGCCTCTGCCGGTGGCCCACATTCAGGTGGCTGGCTGCTTCTTTACTGGTCTTCCTGCTTCCAGGCCTCCTCCTTGCGTTCTTTCTCTGTACTGCAGCCAGGGTGAACCCAGGTGACCCATTCACATCCTAACAAAACCTGTGAATTGATCATTCAGTGATCAGTCCAGATTCAGTGAGGTGGTATTTGAGAACCAGTGGGATCAAATCTGTGCCTTTTTCTTGTCTCACATCCCCCTGTATTTATGCCCTGCCCTGGAATTTACGCTCTTATAACTCAGAATTGGAGATACGCATCCTCACATACTGTGTTTTCTTGCCTCTGTGACTTTGCATTTGTTCCCATGCTCTGCACTCTCCACCCTTCCCTGGAATTCCCAGGTTGGCCTCATGCCTCTCCTCTGGGCTCCTATAGCCTGTGTGCATTTCTCCACTGCACTTACCATATTGTAACATCAGCCTCCAGATTGTCAGCTCCAGAAGGGCAGAGATCCAGGGTATTCAGTAGCTCTGCGTACTCAGTCTCTAGTGCAAGGCCTGGCACAGCCAGCAGTTTGGTGACTAATGATAGTGATTGTAACAGAGCCGAACATTAAGAAGTTACATCTAAGACATGATTTACTCCCCATGACCTGATAAGGACAGTTCCATTATTATCATCACCATTTTACAGAATAGAAAACTGGGGCTGAGAGAGTAATTTAGGCTCAGTCGCCTGGTTAGCATGGGGCTTTTATAAATCCTTAAGCATTACATTATTCCACCCAGTGAAAATTGCTACCAAGGCCAACCCTTGGGATGGAAAGTCACTGAAGCCTGACAGTGTCCGGTCCCAGCTGGAGACATCACTGAAGAGGCTGCAGTGCTCCCAGGTGGACCTCTTCTACCTGCATGCCCCTGACCACGACACCCCGGTGGAAGAGACGCTGCGCGCCTGCCACCAGCTGCACCAGGAGGTGAGGGCAGCCCCCTGAGCTCCAGTAGGCGGCCTGCTGCTCTTCTTATCCTGATACAGGATACAGCCTCACTCCAAGATCCCCACTCTGGCCTCCCCTTCCTGGTCTCCTGGACTGCAGTGGGTTCTGACCACAGCCTCACCCCTGCAGGGCAAGTTTGTGGAACTCGGCCTCTCCAATTATGCCGCCTGGGAGGTGGCTGAGATCTGCACCCTCTGCAAGAGCAACGGCTGGATCCTGCCGACTGTGTACCAGGTGAGGGCCACGGCTGCAGGGGCCTCGGTCTCCAGGGCTCTTGCTGATCCTGGGCTCTCTTTGCCTCTCTGCCTGCCCCTGTGCCCTCTGCATAGCAGCCACTGTCCTGCTCAGAGCCTGCAGATGGCTCCCAGGTAGTGGTCTCTCAGGATGACGTCCAAGATGCTCATCTGGGCCACCAGGCACCTGCCCACTTCTTGCCTGAGTGCGCACCTTGGTCCCTTCCTTCCCCGACTCCCTGTGCACATCAGCCTTGAACACACCTTCCCCCTGGGAGAAGTGCTCAGGCTTCACTTTAGTGACTCTTGCTCTGGAAGCCTTTCCTGACAGCTGTAAGGAGTCTCCAAACCTCACCTTCATACATGCAGTGGGAACTTTTGAGTTCCTACTGTGATCATAGAACCTGACATTATTGTAATTATCAGTCCCCCTGTCTAGTTCTTTAACTTGGCTGTAACATCTCTTGGAGGCAGAGAGTCTGTGAGACTTGTTGATGGTTGTAAATCCAGCGTCCAGCCCATAGTGGGGCACACAGATATTTATGGAATGATATATCCAGTTCAGTTTCCTATCTTTGGGCCCAGTACCCTCTCCCCATCCCCTACCAACACTAATGATTTTAGAAATATTGCAAAAGTCCTGAGCTTGTGTTGATTTAGAGTTTTAAGAGAGGAAGGCTGTCCTCTCCCTGCAGGGCATGTACAACGCCACCACCCGGCAGGTAGAAACGGAGCTCTTCCCCTGCCTCAGACACTTTGGATTGAGGTTCTACGCCTACAACCCTTTGGCTGGTATGTGCTGCCATGGGCCAGGCTCCTCCTGAGGTAGGAGGGCATTCCTGGCCCTGTCTCTGCCTATTCCTGACCCGTAGATGCCGAGACCAGGAGCTGGGAAGCAGGGAGGGGTTTGACAAGATGCTGGGCTGTGTCCTCCATACTTCCTTGGTCCCTCCCCATCTCCTAGTCCAGCACCCCTGGGGTACAGCACCCCAGGGAGCAACCTGGGCCAGGGGTCTGAATGCAGCCTTCCTGCAGGGGGCCTGCTGACCGGCAAGTACAAGTATGAGGACAAGGACGGGAAACAACCCGTGGGCCGCTTCTTTGGGAATAACTGGGCTGAGACCTACAGGAATCGGTGAGCTGGGGATGTCTGCCTCGGGACGCCGAGCATGGAAGGACCCCCTTTGTCTGAAATGATGTTCCAGGCTGCTTTCCTAGGGTGTAAGGCCTTCCCTTGCCGCCTGTGCCTACATCTCTTGATTCCTACAGGATTGTGAAACTCTCCGTGGGGTTTCTTCTTGTTTCCTTGGGACCTCCTGAGGAAATGGGGCTCCCTGGGCCTTATGGTCTCCAAGGCCCAGGTTTTCCCTGAGACATCACCCGCTGAGAAGGAGAGAAGGAGCCCAGGGTGGAGCTCAGGAAGCCTGAGCGAGTCCTGCCCCCTCCTAGCTGCATCTGTGTCACTGGGTGCCATGGGGCAGGTTCAGGAGTCCTCAGGAATTGACACATTGGTGAGGGAGCCAGCCTCCTGGGTGGGTCTGAGACCCCGTGAAGTAGGAGACCCCGGCTAGAGAGGATGCTGGCCCCTCAGGGCTTCATGGACTGGGGTGTGTGTGGCTGCCCTGGGGTGACCCCAAGGTACTGACCCTTGTGCCATCATCCCCATCTGTGCAGCTTCTGGAAGGTGCACCACTTTCAGGCCATTGCCCTGGTGGAGAAGGCCCTGCAGGCCGCTTATGGCGCTAGCGTCCCCAGCATGACCTCGGCAGCCCTGCGGTGGATGTACCACCACTCCCAGCTGCAGGTAAGCAGCCGCCCTGGGTGCTGCTGCCCTTCTGGGGGAGCTAGAATGACTTTCAGGACAGTGGTCCCCAACCCTTTTGGCACCAGGGACCAGTTTCATGGCAGACAGTTTTTCCACGGACTTGGGGTGGTTTCATGATGATTCAATCACATTCCATATATTTTTCACTTTATTTCTGTTATTATTAGATTGTATTATATAATGCAATAGTTGTACAACTTACCATAATGCAGAATCAGTGGGAGCCCTGAGCTTGTTTTCCTGCAACTAGACAGTCTCATCTGGGGGTGATGGGAGCCAGTGACACCCAAAGTGTGTTGTTTATGTCCTCTCTACTCCATAATCTCGTTTTGGTTGTTGTCACTGCAGAAACCCCCGCTTCACAAAGATAGGATGTGGGAAATGGGAGCAGGCTTTTCAGTGCTTTTGTGGCTATCTCAGGATATTCCACCTTGACTTTAGTCCAGAATGTATGGAGATTTGAAGTTGTCTCAAACATAACTTAAAGGCCACCATCATTTGCAGTCTCAAGCAGTGGATCCTCTTCTAGCACGGACAAAGTTGATTCACCTGGCGTATTCACAAATGGGTCACAGGTTCATTTCTTCCCATTTTTGGGGTCTTTTGTGGTTGGGAAGTAATGCTCAAACTCTTTTGAAAGCTGAGATAGGTGATTATGCACCAGCTTGGCAAAGAAGGCCCTGGCTCAGTCTTTTTCAAAATCTCTGCTAATGTTTGAAATATGTCAAAAATCCCAGTATTCACTCATTGTCCCCATTATTCCAGTTCACCTTTGAATGCAGCCACTTTATCTGCCAACTTGAACACAGTTGTCATTCTCCCCTGAAATGATACATTGAGTTCATCGAGCAGGTTAAATGTGTCACACAAGTAAGCAAGTTTGTGACCCATTCTGTGTCACTGAAGTGTGCTGCCAGTGGTGACTTTTTCGAAAAGAAATCTCTGGAGCAGCTCTCATAACTCAAAAACTCTGGCCAGTGATCTACCTTTAGAACGCCATCTCGCTTCTGTGTATAAGGGAAGACATGTGCTCTGCGTCCATCTCCTCACTCAGCTGCATGAACACACGTGAGTTAAGGGCATGTACTTTAATGTGGTTGATGATTTTAATCACATCCTGCAAAACAGTTCAGGTGACATTTTCTGGCTAGCTCGCATTTCTCTATAGATGACAGAGTATGTAGACTCACATTCAGAAGTGAACTCTTTGACCCGAGTAGTGAAACCAGAAAGCTGTCCAGTCATGGCAACCGCTGTATCTGCACATACACCAACACAAAATGACCAGTTCAGTTTTCCTGATACATAATCATCCAAAGGCTTGAATGGTTCTGCAGTTCTGATGTCGCTTGGCAGCAAAAGTGCACATAACATATCCTCGTGCACATCTTCCTGAAAAACATATCACACGAAAACAAGTCTTGCTGCCTTGTTGTCAACATTGGTAGACTCATCAAACTGGATTGTGTACCACGATGACTCATTAATCCTCTAACAGTTGTGCCTCAGTGTCCTCTGCTATTTCATCTGGTTAAGGTGCTAACTGAAAGGGGAACACGTGCCACCGTTTGAACTGCAGCCTCTCCTAAAAGTTCACAGCAAATGTCCTTAGCAGCAGGCAGGACCAACTCTTCACCCATAGTAAAGGGCTTCTTAGCTTTAGCAATGCGGTAGCCACTAAGAATGATGCTTTCAGTGCAGACACGTTTGATGAAGTGGTGGCCTTCAGTAATTGCTTCTGTTCTTTGTGGTCACATTTTTTTCTTTAGAAAAACTCCAAAGGTTTGTCTTTTAATGCAAGGTGCTTGGTCTCCATATGGTGAAGCTCTTTTGAAGTTTTCGTGGCTTCATTAGATAGCCAGTCACCACGTTTTATACAAAGTGGGCTTGGAGAATGTGAATCACCTGTTGCAATGAACTATAATTTAAGTAGGACTCTTGATATTTTCTTTTAAATGCAGCTTTCATTTTGTTGGCAGTCTTAGAGTCTTCTGCTGTCTCATCATTGGATCTGTCCCCATTTTCAAAGAAGCTCTCTAGCGATGTTTGGTTTTCACTCATTTTTGCTAGAGTTAGCTTGTGGGCTTACGAAAACTGACTGAGACAAGTGCTCAGTGCAGGAAAGAGGCACTGATGGAAGTGGTAAATAAAATAATGGGCGGGCAACGTGCAGACTAAAATAAGTGTGTGATTCTGACTTAAAACCTGCCACCAGATGCAGCTATACAATTGAAGTACATCAACTCACTGGCCACTAGAAAGCCTGCTGCCAGATGCAGCTTAATTGTCACTTGCCACTCACTGATAGGGTTTGGATGAGTCTGCGAGCAATTGATTTTTTTTTCTTTTTTTATTTTGACCACCCAGAAGTACCTTATCAACCAAAGCAATTGATTTATTATGGTGTCTGTGCAGTCAGACCTCCCTGCTAATGATAATCTATCTGTATTTGCAGCTGCTCCCCAGCACTAGCATCACCGCCTCAGCTCCAGCTCAGATCATCAGGCATTAGATAATCACAAGAAGTGTGCAGCCTAGATCCCTCGCATGCGGAGTTTACAATAGGGTTTGTGCTCCTAAGACAATCCAGTGCCCCTGCTGATCTGACAGGAGGCAGAGCTCAGGTGGAGATGTGAGTGATGGGGAGTGGCTGTAAATACAGAGGAAGCTTCGCTCCCTCGCCCACTGCCACTCTCCTGAGCGCCCCGCAGCTCCAGGATTGGCAACTGCAGTGTTAGGGGACCTCTAAAGAGTTTGTTTTCTCTATTCCTTCGAAATTTCTGTCCCTTCCAGTTCTCGTGGGCATTCTTCCCACTGTTTGTCGATGTTATCTGCATGCCAGGCTTTGTAACAAGGGCTTCACAAACATGGGTTTCATCATCCTTTAGGCCATGATGGTATGATTATCCCAGTTTTATTGAGGAGGGAACGGGTTCACACAGCTATTAAGGGGACAGAGGCCGGTGGCTCACACCTATAATCCTAGCACTCTGGAAGGCTGAGGCAGGCATATCACTCAAGGTCAGGAATTTGAAACCAGCCTGAGCAAGAGCGAGCCCCTGTCTCTGCTAAAAAGAAAGAAGTTAATTGGCCAACTAAAATATATATAGAAAAAATTAGCTGGGCATAGTGGCATGCTTGTAGTCCCAGCTACTCGGGAGCTGAGGCAGAAGGATCATTGAGCCCAGGAGTTTGAGTTGCTGTGAGCTAGGCTGACGCCACGGCACTCTATCTGGGGCAACAGAATGAGACTCTGTCAAAAAAAAAAAAATAAGGACAGAAATTTGAACACAGGTTTAACCTTTAACCATAAGACCCACAGTCTCCCTCCTCTGGTGGGAGCTGGGGTTTCCTCTCTCTGGCTGTCCCCTGTCTTCCTGGTTCAGACTTCAGCTTTGGAGGTGGCACAGTGTCTGACATATGTATACAGTAGGTGCTCAGTAATGGGAGCTAAGTGAGTTGCATAAGTTTTACACCCATAACCATGCTGAAAATCGAGACAATGGAGTCCCAAAAGGTTGAATGACTTAGCCCCAGTGTCACAGCTTTTGGGGTTGAGAACGGGCTGTGAAGTTCGGTCCGTCTGGGCGAGCTGTGTGGGGGCAGGGGACAGCATAACGGTCTCAAGTCACATCATTCCAGCTGTCAAGGCACCTGCAGTTCTTTGTGGATGCACAGGACACACATAAACACGGAGCCCAGGTCTCGGCAGGGCCGTGGCTGGGAGGGCGTGTGAGTGGAGCGTTGTGCAGAAGGGTGTTGACCTCTGGCCGTCTGCCCTTGCAGGGTGCCTGTGGGGACGCGGTCATCCTGGGCATGTCCAGCGTGGAGCAGCTGGAGCAGAACTTGGCAGCGACTGAGGAAGGGCCCCTGGAGCCGGCTGTCGTGGACGCCTTTGACCAAGCCTGGCACCTGGTTGCCCACGAGTGTCCCAACTACTTCCGCTAGGTCCCGTCGTGGCTCAGGCTGCCCAAGGCCTTCTCATTTTTCTCTCACTCTGGCTAGTCTCTGCCTTAAGCTGATGTAGCAGGGTCTTTCATGATTGGATCTGTGCATTGTTTTTCTAGATTCCTGTCTTGCTCCTTATTGCCTTCACACCATGGAAAGGCTGGGGCTGCATCCTGCCTGGGGCTTTCCTACCTGAATAAAGTAGGCACTTGACCTGGCTGTCACCCAGGCCTGCAATGAACCCCACACACTTGTCTTCTCTGGTGTTCACGATGTGTTTCCCAGCCTGCCTGGGGACTGCGAGATAGAGGCTGAACCACGGGCTGGAGTCTTCAAAGGGTGAAGGGAGTGGAAGGGTCTCAGGGGCACATGGCCCTCCCCAGTGTCTCCTGGGTCCCTAGTTCTGACTGCCAGCCTGACTTCTCAACTGTGGGGCTGGAGGTAGCTCTCACTCTCCTACACAATAGAAAAAATGAGAGCTGTACACCTAAAGATTTTCTCCACTTTAGAATTGCCTCCTCAGTACTTAGAAGTGGAAGAATTTGAGCAGAAGCCTACCTGTAGAGTCCCTGCTAAGAAGAAGAAATAACACTGGGTACATTTCTGACACTGAATCTCAGCACTGGCTTTACTCTTATCTTAGCTGAGGCCTCCTATCTGCACATCCATCAGATTCTTGGCCTTTTCTCTGGGCCTCCTGTTGGGAGTGTGGGCACTGACTGCCAGGGTCCCCATTTTCCTCAGCAAACTTCTACTCCAAACTGGAGGCACCTAAGGCTGGAGAAGAAAGGAAAAATCCCAGGTCCAGCCATTGCTGTTTGACCATTTCCAATGTAGCAAAATCTCCCCAGCCTTGAGCAGCACGTCAGGGAGTCATGGGGGGCAGGGCAGGGCACAAGGCAGCAGCAGCAGCAGCAGCATGCGAAACAGTCTGTTAAGATGAACAGGGCCCAACCTGGAAATTTAGACAACCCCACTCATCCAGGTGACTCTGTTCTAGGAAAAGTTCCATTTGCCCTCTAGAGGGAGATACCCTGCAGACAAATTTTTATTCTTTATCAAAAGAAGTCACCTTCCTTTGTCTCTTTCCATAACAAAATAGTTGTTTCCCCATACCATATGCTCCATTAATTATCTTTGTACAACAAACCACACTAAAATTGAGTTGTTTAAAATTACTAGATCCCCCAAACTAATCAAAAGATTCAATAAAATCCCTATCAAAATGCCAGATGGCTTTTTTTTTTTTTGCACAGTACACAAATTAACAAACTGATCCTAAAATGCAAATAGAAATTCAAGAGACCCAGAATAACCAAAACAAACTCCAAAAAGAACAAAGTTGGAGGACTCACACTTCCTGATTTCAAACTTACTACAGAATTATAGTAATAAAGACTGGTTGTGGCATAGGGAATAGAATTGAGAGTCCAGAAACAAAATCTTACTTGTACAGTCAGTCGATTTTATTAATAGCACTCAGAAGAGTGCTAAGACAATTCAATGAAGAGCAGTCTTCAACAACGTCTGAATGTCCTCATGCCAAAGAACAAAGCTGGATCCCTTCCTCATGCCATACAAAGAAATAAACTCAAAATGGATCAAACACCTAAATGTATAAGCTAAAACTATAAAACCCATAGAAGAAAATACTGTAATAAATCTTCATGACCTTGGGTTAGGCAATGGTTTCTTAGATATGCCACCAAAAGCACAAGCAACAAAGGGAAAAATAGTTAAATTGGGCATCACCATTATTTAGTCTTGATAGTGCTTCAAAGACACCATCAAGAGAGTGAAAAGACAACCTACGGAATGGGAGAATATTTTTTGCAAATCACATATTTGTTAAGTCACTTATAGCTGTAACATACAAAGCACTCTTACGACTTAATAAGAGAAAACACCCAGTTAAACAGTGGACAAGGGATCTGAACAGACTTTTCCAATGAGAATATCCAGATGGTCAGTGACCACATGCAAAGCTGCTCAGCATCACTACTTCTCAGAGAAAACCAGATCAAAACCACTTCCCACTCAGTCTCAGAGAGAAAGTAAGTGTTGAGGAGAGTAGAGAAATCAGAGCCTTCATACACTGCTGGTGGGAACACAGGATGGTGCAGGCACTTTAGAAAACAGCCCAGCAGTTTCTCAAAGAGTAAGCAGAGTTACCAGATGACCCCGCACTTCCACAACTCAGGCACATACCCGAGTGAAATGAAATATGTCCACACAATAAGTTAAAGGAATGTTCATAGGGGCACTGTTCGTTAAAGCCAAAAAGTGGAAACACCCCAAGTGTCAATCAGCTGATGAATCGATAAAATGCATATACATACAGTGGAATACTGTCAAGCATTAAGAAGGAATTACATACTGAACAGCTACAATACGGACGAGCCTTGAAGACGAGGGAAACAAGCCTGTCACAACAGGCCTCAAGTATATGCTTCCGTTTCCATGAAATGTCTGGAATAGGCGAACCTATTAGAGACAGAAAGTAGATATTTAATACCTAGAACTGGGAGAGGTTTGGGGAGGAAATGGAGATTGACTGCTAATGAGTATGGGGTTTCCTTCTGGGGTGGTAAAAAATGGTCTAAAATTGATTGTGATGGTTGTAAAACTCTACACTGAAAACCACTGAATTACACACTTTGAATTGGTGAATTGTGTATCATCTGAATTGTCTCAATAAAACAATCACTTAGCTCACAGTCTGCCTGGGCAGGGCTCAGTGGGGAAGCCTCCCCAACGTCTGAGCGGTGATCACAAGCTGGAGTCTAGAATCACCTGGAGACTGATTCACTCACATGTCTGGTAGTGGCACTGAGTGTCAGCTGGAACATCAGCTGTCCTAGTCAACTGGCACACACGTGACCTCCCCATATGGCCAAGGTGTCCTCACAGTGTGGCAGCTGGCTTTCTGGGCAGCTTCTAAAACCAGCAGAAACCATATTGCTTCCCCCCACCAGTATGTTTTTATTTTTTGTATTGCCTTCCATTTCTCAGCTTCAGAACTCCACAGCATCACACTTGCATCCTGGGAGAAATGTCAAAATCACGTTGTAAAAAGAGGACGTGAGAGAACAGGGGGTCATCTTTGGAAAATAAATGGTCACTGGGAGCAATAGTCCCAAGTGGTCAAGTCGAGAAGATGAGCCCCAGGACCTGGCAGGAGACTCTCTTGAGTGGCCCCATCAGTGATGGATTCTCTCCTATGTCATGTCCCATCTGTTAGAACCTTCTGGATACTGTATCTCAAACATATTTTTTTTTGAGACAGAGTCTTGCTTTGTTGCCTAGGCTAGAGTGAGTGCCGTGGCATCAGCCTAGCTCACAGCAACCTCAATCGCCTGGGCTCAAGCGATCCTCCTGCCTCAGCCTCCCGAGTAGCTGGGACTACAGGCATGCGCCACCATGCCCGGCTAATATTTTCTCTATATATTAGTTGGCCAATTAATTTCTTTGTATTTATAGTAGAGACAGGGTCTCGCTCTTGCTCAGGTTGGTTTCAAACTCCTGAGCTCAAACGATCAGCCAGCCTCAGCCTCCCAGAGAGCTAGGATTACAGGCGTGAGCCACCGCGCCCGGCCTCTCAAACATATTTGATGGTCATATTTGATGGCTATTTTATCCCTAAAGAGCTTCAAAAGACAGTTTCAAAACACCATGTTGTACACCATAAATATATACATATATTTTATTTGTCAATTTAAAAATAAATGAGAATTCTGGAATCTTATATAAGTGCCATAATACAATGTGTGGTCTTTTGGTTTGGTTGCTTGCTTCCTTATTTATTTATTTTTAAGTCTGGCTTGCTTCGCTCGGCATAATTTCGAGATTCATCCATGTCATTGTGTCTATCAATAGTTCCCTTTTATTGCTGAGTAGCAAGCACTCCATTGTATGGATATAGCACAATTGGTTAATCCTTGCATGTATTGATAGATGTCTGGGTTCTTTTCAGTCTGTAGCTAGTACAAATAAAGTGCTATGGACATTCATGTACAGTCAATCAATACAAATAAGAAGGACAAAAAGACCTAAAAGGAACAGAGTTGGATCTGGAAAGCATCAAACATACTTAATCATCTTCACACTAAGGAAACTGGTCCACAGTGTATAAAAGAATGGAGAGTGAGGCGGTGTGGGTTTTGTACATGGGAACCCATGAGGAAGGAGCTACTGAAGCTTAGGGCTGGTGGGAGGGGTTCTGGGCTGACCCGACCCTCTCGCTTCCTGTGGATTCTGGCTGCTGTTCTGGTGATTGGGGTGGTTGATGTCACCAGCGTCTCACATCTGGAATTCTGAGCACGTTGCAGGAGCAATAGGAAGGTAAGAGCATCGGGCTCCGTAACTGCTTATGCACAAGTGCATTTCTGCTCCACAGGTTTTTAGTTTAGCAAGGCTACTTTTGCCACGACATTGTTCCCCACCAAAATGTAAGTGTATAACCACTGTAGAAGCAAATTCCCTCAATGTTGAACTTTCTAATGGAATAAAATAGCATTCAGATGCTTCACCTTTGACAAAATGAACTTCCAGAAGCATACAGGAAATATTTAAGACTCTTAGGGTATAAACAGGGAAAGTTAAAGAGATGGAAAGAAGGTAGGATTTCTATGCTTCAACTTGTAAACTGATGCCACCAGTACACTGTCCTAAGATAGGTACATACAATGTAACACTTGGAGTAACCATTTAAAAAGCTGAACAAAGAGATATACTCAAAAACACTGTAATAAAATCAAATTCTTAAAAAAAAAAATTTCAATTATCTGACAGGAAAGGAGGAGAAAGAAAAGAGAGAAACAACCAAAGAACAAACAAAACAAAAAGTAAAATGGTACACTTAAACGCAAATGGTCTAAATCTACCACTGAAAAGACAGAGTTTGGCACAGTGGGTTAAAGCATGACCTAACTATATGCTTTCTGTAGAGACTCACTTCAAGTAGAATGATATAGACAGATTGAAATTAAAAGGAAGGAACAAGATAAAGCATGAAAACCAATCAAAAGAAAGCAGTAATGGCATAGTGATATCAGATAAAGTAGACTTCAGAATAAAGAAAATTATCAGAGACAGAGAAGGTCATTATGTAATGATTTTTTAAAAAGTCAATCCAGGCCGGGCGCGGTGCCTCACGCCTGTAATCCTAGCACTCTGGGAGGCCAAGGCAGGCGGATTGCTCGACTAAAAACAGAAATAAATTAATTTTATTTAATTAAATATCACTTAAATCCTTTTAAATTGTTTTATGCTTGTTTTATGCTCCCAAATATGGTATAGCTTGGTGAATTGGAACTTGAAATGAATGCATATTGTGCTGTTATCAGATATTCTATTAATGTCAAATTAGTACTGTTGTTCAAGTCTTGTATTCCTTTACTTTCTGTAAATTATGACCAATAATTGTTATGCAATTACTGAGAAAGGAGTGTTGAAATTTCAAACTATAATTTCACATTTGTCTATTTCTTCTTCTATTATTCTTTTCATGTATATTTTTTAGCAAGCTGAAAGTCAGTATATTTTCGTGTATTTTGATGCTTTATTATCAGGTGCATACACATTTAGGATTATGCCCTCTTGATTAATTGACCTGTTTGTCATTACGCTATGTCCCTCTTTGTCTTTGGTAGTATTCTTTGTTTTGAAATCTACTTTGTCTGATATTCATGTAGCCACTCCAACTTTTTTTTTTACTGTCAAGGTATGTCTTTTCCCATCCTTTTACTCTTCACCTATCTCTGTTTATATATTTCAGTGGGTTTCCAGTCCTTACCATATAGTTGGGTTTTACTTTTTTTTTAAATCTAATATGACAATCTCTGCCTTTTACTTGGGAGTGTTTATATATTTTATATTTAATGTAATTGTTGATATGATTGGATTTAAAACTATCTTGCTATTTGTTTTTTTCATTCATTTGTTTGTTTGGTTTTTTTTTTCATTTCATTTTTTCAAACCCCATCTTTGTTGGTCTGAACAAAGGATTCTGCCTTCACTTTTCCAAGGCTGTTCCACTTAAGGCACACAATCCAAAGCTGACTGTTGTCTTCTTCCAACACTTTAAGCGTGTCGCTCCCGGGGGATGCCGCCTGGGGCCCGCCGCACCGGCCACAGCCCTTGGGCCACCGCCGCTAGGCCCCCGCGGGGGCGGACACGCGCGGGGACAGCGGGCCAGGCCGAGGGCGGCGGCGACGAGGCAGGGAAGCCGGGGGCGTCCGGCCACCCTCGGCCCCGCTCGGCCTGGGGCACCCGGGGCCAGGCCACAGCCCCGCCGCTGACGCCGGGAAGGTGTAGACGGTCTCCAAGCCCCGCCCCTCCCCGATCGCCCCGCCCCTCCCCGGACGCCCCTCCCCTCCCCATAGCCCCGCCCTCCCAGATCGCCCGGCCCCTCCCCGTAGCCCCGCCCTCCCCGGTCGCCCCGCCCCGCCCCCGCTCCTTAAGTCGCCACCGCGGCCCGGCGGAGGCTCGTGCTGCCGGCCGCCGCGCGCATCGCCTGAGCCGTCGGAGTCCCCGCCGCCGTCATGTCCCGGCAGCTGTCGCAGGTCCGGCCCGGCACGGTGCTGGGCGCCATGGAGATGGGGCGCCGCATGGACGCGGCCACCAGCGCCGCGGCCATGCGCGCCTTCCTGGAGCGCGGCCACACGGAGGTGGACACGGCCTTCGTGTACGGCGACGGCCAGTCCGAGACCATCCTGGGCGGCCTGGGGCTCGGGCTGGGCGGCAGCCGCTGCAGAGGTAACAGTCGCCCGGGACCGCCGCGCACCGTGCGAGCACCTGCGCCCACCGCGCACCGCCCCGCGCGGCCGGACCGCGGGCAGCACCCACAGCTTCGTCCCCGCAGCCCGCCCTGACACCCCTAAGTTCTGTGAACCCCGGGCTCCTCGAACACATCTGGCCAAAGACAACTAGGCGGTGCTTCGCCCTGACTCCTGTCCTCCCCTGTTCCCTTCCCAGAAGGTAGCCGGGTACTCTCCCCCAGCGACTCCCAACCCTAGTCTGGCCTGGAACGACTTGGAGAACCCCTCTCTGGGGCTCTGAAAACGCTGGAATCTGGCACCGTCAGCCCCTCAGCCCACCCCAGGCCCTTGCAGGTGCCCCTGACGCCTGATCTGCAGAAATCCTGTTCTTATCACCCTGCCACTCCCTGGCACAGCCCCAGCTCAGACTTTGGAACAAGCTAGCGGTCTGCTTTCTCCTCGGCTCATGCCAGCCGTGCTCTGGGCCCTAGACTTTGCTCTGGGTGCCTTGCTGGGTTGGCAGCGCTCCCCTCCTCACCAGGGTGGCAGTGCCTAGGAGCCTTTGCAGCTCCCCCAAGCAGGATGGGGGAGTGGGGTGGGGCAGGGTCTGACTGCCCTGTCAGTGCCAGGCTCTGTCCCAGGCTACAGGAGGGAGCTGGACACTGAGCCCCTCCAGGAAGCTCAGATTCTGGAGATGCTGGGGACCCAGAGGGAGCCCTCCCTGGGTGGGAGCCGATGAAGGAACAATGGAGAGGAGTTTGCCAGGCGTGCTGGTGTGCAAAGGCAGTGGGATTGGGCACCGCCCAGGGTGTTGGAGTAGGGGGACCTGCTTTAAGGGGAGGGTAGGTGTGTGGGGACAGGGAGCGGCTCTCAGTCTGATGCCATTTGAATTGCCTGGGGTGTGCCCTGTGGACACATAGTCAGGGTTCAGAAATGCCAGGGGCTGCTTTGTTCTTCATGTTAGCACTCTGCCTCCGCCCACTCTCCCCTGTGGTGGAGGGTCTTGCTCTGTCTCTCCTCTGATTCAAAGCGCAGCGTGCTGGATCTGGAACAACAGGAGACCATGCAGCTCGGTGCCATGGTCTTTCTAGACCACCTGGCGCATCTCAGCGAGAACTCTGATCTCAATTTTTTCCCCTTGTTCAATCCCTCCTCTCTTCCATCCGTAAGGCCGGGGCTAGCTGGACCAAGTCTGCAGATCTCAGATCTGAGGTTAAGTTCTCAACAAGATGGGGAGGGATGGTGGTGGAATGGAAAAATTCCAAATGAGTAGTCCCTGCAACCTGCCATCTCCCAGGTCTCAAGGGCTCCAGTGACTGCCCACCTGCCTGCCCAAGTGACTTCCTAAGCGTGGAAAGTGGGAAGAGGACTCTCCAGTCACCCATCAGTCCAGCCCACCAGGATTCCTAACAGGGGCCAGGGAGATAGTGCTGAGCTCACTTCTGACTCACTTGAAAGGCCAATTCTGGGCCTGTTCTTCTGGGGAGGGGTCTCTAATTGATCCCTGCCTTTCCTGCCCAGGGGCGCAAGGTGACACCTCTTGCATCTCTTTCCTGAATTCCTGTTGCTGTCTCTTTAGTGGTCTCCCCGTTTCCGGACCTGCTCTCTGTCCATGCTGCATTCAGAGTCATCTTTCAAAACTACAAGGCTGAGCACTTAGCTCCTCGTCGTAAAAGCCTTCAGAGGTCCCCCCCAGCCTCCTAATGTCCACACTCCATGGGCACCAGTCAAGGAGGAAGCAGGTCACATGCCCACTCTGAAGTCAGGGGCTGTGCCAGAGAATGCCATCTGACCTGTGGCCCTTTCTTTTGCCTCATGGGCCTCTATGGACCTGGGGCTCTGGAAGCATGGACTCCCAGGCCCAGCTGCCCACACCCCTTGTTCTTGCCTCTGAACTTTTGTCCATGTCCCCACCTTCTGGAATGAGCTTCTCACCCTTGCCCAACTGGTGGCCTCTGATTTCCCCTTGGAGATTTGGATTCGGCCTCTAAGGAAAACCTTCCTGAGCTCCCAGGCGGCCTCACACCTCTATGCCTGGGACTCCTTCAGCACCCTCTGCATCTCCCTGCCTCCCTGACTCCGAAGTGGCCTCTGAGACTGAGTCCTTGAGGGTGGGGGTCACCTCCCTCTACTGGCACCTAGCACCAGGACTGGCACATCCAGCTACCCCATGATAATCACCATGGTGATGACATCAGCAGCTCAAAATGAGCACTTTTTATTTTTTAGAGAGTCTCACTGTCTCTCGCTAGGCTGAAGTGCAGTAACATCATCATAGCTCACTGTAACCTGAAACTCCTGGGCTCAAGCGATCCTCCTGCCTAAGCCTCCGGAGCAGCTGGGTCTACAGGCACACATCATGATGCCTGGCTAACAGTTTTTGTAGTCAGGGTCTCGCTCTGTTGCCCAGTCTGGTCTTGAACTCCTGGTTCCAAGCAGTCCTACTGCCTCAGCCTCCCAAAGTGCTAGGATGATGAGTGTAAGCCACTGCGCCTGGCCCCAGATGAGCACTTTTATCCAAGTTCTGGTCAATCCTCAGGACCTCACTACAAGACAGCACCATTTTCACTCTCATTATAATTGAGACTCAGAACGGTTAAGTAACTTAGTCAAGGTCACAGAGCTACTAATGGCAGAGCTGGGATTTTAACTCAGCTCTTTTAACCATGACACTAGACGCTCTTCCCATGTTTGATATACTGTCCTGAACTTCCATTTCTGTCTCCACAAAGTGAAAATTGCTACCAAGGCCATTCCATTGTATGGGAACTCACTGAAGCCTGACAGTGTCCGGTTCCAGCTGGAGACATCACTGAAGAGGCTGCAGTGCCCCCGGGTGGACCTCTTCTACCTGCACATGCCAGACCACAGCACCCCGGTGGAAGAGACGCTGCGTGCCTGCCACCAGCTGCATCAGGAGGTGAGTGCAGCCCCCTGGGCTCCAGCAGGCGGCCTGCTGCTCTGCTCCTTATCCCGATCCTACTCAGGAGGGTGGAAGCACCAGGGCAGGCCCCAGGCACTGGGAACAGGTCACTCCCAGGATCCCCACTCTGGCCTCCCCTTCCTGGTCTCCTGGGCTGCAGTGGGTTCTGACCACAGCCTCACCCCTGCAGGGCAAGTTTGTGGAGCTCGGCCTCTCCAATTATTCCGCCTGGGAGGTGGCCAATATCTGTAACCTCTGCAAGAGCAACGGCTGGATCCTGCCGACTGTGTACCAGGTGAGGGCCAGGGCTGCAGGGACCTCGGTCTCCAGGGCTCTTGCTGATCCGGGTTCTCTTTGCCCTTGTGCCTGCCCCTGTGCCCTCTGCATAGCAGCCACTGTCCTGCTCAGAGCCTGCAGATGGCTCCCAGGTAGTGGTCTCTCAGGATGACGTCCAAGATGCTCATCTGGGCCACCAGGCACCTGTCCACTTCTTGCCTGAGTGCGCACCTTGGTCCCTTCCTTCCCCGACTCCCTGTGCACGTCAACCTGGAGTGCTCCTCCCCTCCTCTCCCTAGGGAAGCACTCAGGTCCCATGTGGATGTCTCTCCCTCTGTCCTTTCTAGACAGGCAGAGGAGCCTGAGATCCTTTACCGTCTCATCATTCATTCTATAAATCTCTGTGCACCTACTTGGCGCCAGGCACCGGTCATGGAACTGACTAGTGTATTACAATTGCCTCTTTACTTAATAATACTCATTTACATTTTGCCTTACTATGGAATCTTTGAGGGAAGGAACCTGTCCTTTTGGCTTATGGATGCAAATCTACATCCAGCCCAGAGATGATGCCATAAAATTTGGCTGAATAAATCAATATTCCTTGGGCATAAGCCCCCTTCACCACCACCTCTTAGTACATGCCCAGGTTGCTAAGGGCCCAGGATTGTTAAGGTCTGAACTGAGGGTTCTACAAGGGTAAATTTGGGGTTCCTTCCCCTGACACGTCCACCCTGTCCGGCTGTCCCCTCTCCCTGCAGGGTATGTACAATGCCACCACCCGGCAGGTGGAAATGGAGCTCTTCCCCTGCCTCAGGCACTTTGGATTGAGGTTCTACGCCTTCAACCCTTTGGCTGGTATGTGCGGCCATGGGCCAGGCTCCTCCTGGGCTGGGAGGGCATTCTTGGCCCTGTCTCTGCCTGTTCCTGACCCGTAGATGCCGAGCCCAGGAGCTGGGAAGCAGGGAGGGGTTTGACAAGATGCTGGGCTGTGTCCTCCATCCCTCCTCAGTCCCTCCCCATCTCCTAGTTCAGTACCCCTGGGGTACAGCACCCCTAGGAGCAACTCTGAATGCAGCCTTCCTGCAGGGGGCCTGCTGACCGGCAAGTACAAGTATGAGGACAAGGACAGGAAACAACCCCGGAGCCGCTTCTTTGGAGACCAAGTGTCTGAGATCTACAGGAATCGGTGAGCTGCCAGTGGGTCTAGTGAGGGGGGTTTTGGTGGGGATCCCTCTTATCCAACATGAAATTCCAGGCTGGTTTCCTAAGATGCAAGGCCTTCCCTTGCCGCCTGTGCCTACATCTCTTGATTCCTACAGGATTGTGAAACTCTCCGTGGGGTTTCTTCTTGTTTCCTTGGGACCTCCTGAGGAAATGGGGCTCCCTGGGCCTTATGGTCTCCAAGGCCCAGGTCTTCCCTGAGACATCACCCGCTGAGAAGGAGAGAAGGAGCCCAGGGTGGAGCTCAGGAAGCCTGAGCGAGTCCTGCCCCCTCCTAGCTGCATCTGTGTCACTGGGTGCCATGGGGCAGGTTCAGGAGTCCTCAGGAATTGACACATTGGTGAGGGAGCCAGCCTCCTGGGTGGGTCTGAGACCCCGTGAAGTAGGAGACCCCGGCTAGAGAGGACACTGGTCCCTCAGGGCTTCAAGGACTGGGGTATCGTTGACTTCCCTGGGGTGACCCCAAGGTACTGACCCTTGTGCCATCATCCCCATCTGCGCAGCTACTGGAAGGTGGACCATTTTCAGGCCATTGCCCTGGTGGAGAAGGCTCTGCAGGCCGCTTATGGCGCCAGCGCCCCCAGCATGACCTCGGCCGCCCTGCGGTGGATGTACCACCACTCCCAGCTGCAGGTAAACAGCCGCCCTGGGTGCTGCTGCCCTTCTGGGGGAGCTCGAATGACCTTCTGGGACTTGGAGTTTGTTTTGTCTATTCCTTTGAAATTTGTCTCCCTTCCCGTCCTCCTAGGAATTCTTCCCACTGTTTGTCAATGTTACCTGTGTACTACGCTTTGTAACAAGGGCTTTACAAACGTGGGTTTCATCATCCCATAGGCCTTGTGCAGTATGATCATCCCAGTTTTATTGAGGAGGGAACTGGGGTTCACACAGCTATTAAGGGGACAGAAATTGTAACACAGGTTTAACCATAAGACCCACTAGTTTCCCTCCTCTGATGGAAGCTGGGGTTCCTCTCTCTGGCTGTCCCTTGTCTTCCTGGTTCAGACTTCTCTAGCTTCAGCTTTGGAGGTGGCACAGTGTCTGACATATGTATACAGTAGGTGCTCAGTAATAGGAGCTAAGTGAGTTGCATAAGTTTTCATACCCACAACCACGCTGAAAATCAAGACAGTGGAGTCCTGAGAGGTTGAATGACTTAGCCCCAGTGTCACAGCTTTTGGGGTTGAGAACGGGCTGTGAAGTTCGGTCCGTCTGGGCGAGCTGTGTGGGGGCAGAGGACAGAATAACGGTCTCAAGTCACATCATTCCAGCTGTCAAGGCACCTGCAGTTCTTTGTGGATGCACAGGGCACACATAAACACGGAGCCCAGGTCTCGGCAGGGCCGTGGCTGGGAGGGCGTGTGAGTGGAGCATTGTGCAGAAGGGTGTTGACCTCTGGCCATCTGCCCTTGCAGGGTGCCTGTGGGGACACGGTCATCCTGGGCATGTCCAACGTGGAGCAGCTGGAGCAGAACTTGGCAGCGACTGAGGAAGGGCCCCTGGAGCCGTCTGTTGTGGACGCCTTTGACCAAGCCTGGCACCTGGTTGCCCACGAGTGTCCCAAGTACTTCCGCTAGGTCCCGTCGTGGCTCAGGCCGCCCAAGGCCTTCTCATTTTTCTCTCACTCTGGGCAGTCTCTGCCTTAAGCTGACATAGCAGGGTCTTTCGTGATTGGATCCGTGCATTGTTTTTCTAGATTCTTGTCTTGCTCCCTATTGCCTTCACACCATGCCTTGGTCTCTCCTACCTGAATAAAGTAGACACTTGACCTGGCTGTAGCCCAGGCCTGCAGTGAACCCTGCACACTTGTCTTCTCTGGTGCTCACAGTGTGTTTCCCATCCTGCCTGGGGACTGTGTCCTTAGTTCTGTTCCTTCGTTTTGTTAGACAGGGCCTCACTCTGTTGCCCAGGCCTGAGTGCAGTGGCACCATCTTAGCTCACCATAACTTTGAACTCCTAGGCTCAAGTGATCCTCTTGTCTCAGAATCCCAAGAAGCTGGAACTACAGTTGTTCACCACCACACTCTGCCAATTTCTAAATCTTTTGTAGAGACGGGGTCTCACTATGTTGCCTGGGCTGGTCTTGAACTCTTAGCCTCAAGCGATCCTCCCGTTTGGGCCTCCCAAAGTGCTGGGAGTACAGGTGTGACCCACTGTGCCTGGCCAGTTCCCAGTTCTGAATCCCAGCCTGAGCTTGCAACAGCAGGGCTGCAGGGGTTCTCACTGTTCTACACACGATAGAGAAAAAATAGGGCCCCACACCTGAGGTAGATATTCTCTACTTCAGAACTGCTTCATTAAATACCTAGAAATGGAAGAATTTGGGCAAAAATCTACCAGTAGAGTCCCTGCCAAGAAGAATAAAACCTTTCAAGATCATGTGGAAGATTCTCAACTGTCTCTGAATTTCAACAATGGTGTTACTCTTGTCTTAGTAAAGTCTCAGGTCTGCTCATCTGTAAGATTCTTGGTTTTGGTTCTGGGCCTCCTATTGGGGGTAGAGGTGCTGGCAGCCAGGTCTCCATTTTCCTCAGCAAACTCCTTCTCTAAGCTGGAGGCACCAAGGCTGGAGACGGAAAATCCCAGGTCTGACCGTTTGCACAGGCCACACCCAGTGCAGCAAATCCCTCCAGCCTCAGTGGGGGAAGGGCTGAGGGGGGTGGGACATGCAGGGTACTTGGCCTTAGCAGCAGCAGGTGAGCAGTCTCTTGACGTGATGAAAGGGGCACTGCTTGGGAATTTAGACACCAATAATCAAAATGACTCTGTTCTAATAACAGCCCCATTTGCTGTCTAGAGGGAGATAAAATTTCTCCTCCATAGAAACACATCACCCTACTTTGTATTTATGCATAGCAAACAGATGCTCCCCAAAGTGGAGTAGTTTATCAGTTATTTTGGTGCAAAAAATCACCCTCAAATTAAGTTGCCTAAAATGATAAAATCCTTCAAATTGATTTAAAGAGTCAATGCAATCCCTGTTCAAAATCCCAGCTGGGTTTTTTTTTAAATACAGAAATTGATAAATGGATCCTAAAATTCATACGAAAATGATTTTTTTTTTGGAGGAACAAAGTTGGAGGACTCACACTTTCTGATTTTAAAATTCATTACAAAGCTACAGTAATAAAGACAGTGTGGTACTGGCATCAGGATAGACGTAGCTGAAAGGGATCGAATTGAGGCCCAGAAATAAACCCCTACATGTAGTGTCAATTGATTTTAGAGATAAGTGCTAAGATAATTGGATAGGAAAAAGAAACGTCTTCAACATCTGGACATATGCATGTAAAAGAGTAAAGTTTGACCCCATCCCTCATACCATATACAAAAAAATTAACACAAAATGGATCATAGGGCCTAAATGTATAAGCTAAAATGGTAAAAACTCTTAGAAGAAAATAAAGGATTCTTTGTGACCTCACATGAGGCAATGGTTTCTTAGAAAGGCCTTCTAAAACATAAACAACAAAAGCAAAAATTAGGTAAACTGGACATCATCATAATTGACAACTTTTGTGCTTCAAAGACATAATCAGGAAAGTGAAAACACAGCAGAATAAGAGGAAATATTTGCAAATCATTTATTGGATGATGTATCTAGATTATATAAGGAATTATTATTATTATTATTATTTTTTTTTTTTTTTTGAGACAGAGTCTCACTTTGTTGTCCAGGCTAGAGTGAGTGCCGTGGCGTCAGCCTAGCTCACAGCAACCTCAAACTCCTGGGCTCAAGCGATCCTACTGCCTCAACCTCCCGAGTAGCTGGGACTACAGGCATGTGCCACCATGCCCGGCTAATTTTTTACATATATATATCAGTTGGCCAATTAATTTCTTTCTATTTATAGTAGAAACGGGGTCTTGCTCTTGTTCAGGCTGGTTTTGAACTCCTGACCTCGAGCAATCCGCCCGCCTCGGCCTCCCAGAGAGCTAGGATTACAGGCGTGAGCCACCGCGCCTGGCCAGAGGAATTATTATTGTAAGGGAGAATTTTTCCACTCCCTTCCTAACAGTAGCATAACTGCAAACTAGCATGACTAAGCAACTAAAGAGTGACCTTTGACTAGATTTCAATCTTGTACATGACTGCAAACTAGCATGACTAAGCAACTAAAGAGTGACCTTTGACTAGATTTCAATCTTGTACATGACTGCAAACTAGCATGACTGAGCAACTATAGAGTAACACGCGACTGGATCATGGTCTTGTGCAGACTTTGTAACCATTTGCTTCTGTAACCTATCCAAGCCACCATGCTTAGACCCCATTTTGCTCGGAATTTGGAGGTGAGACCCCTCTGAGCCCGCCAGCGTAATAAAAGCCTGTTTGCAGTACTCTTGTGTGGCTTTCAGTTTGTTTCCTGGTCCAGTTTGCTGTAACATTACAACTCAGCAATCAAAACGCAAATAATCCAGTTGAAAAAGGACAAAGGATCTAAATAGACTTTTCTCCAGAGAATATATACAGATGACCAGGAAGCAGATGAAAAACCACTCAACATCATTACCCACCAGGGAAATAAAAATGAAAACCATAAGGAGATATCACTTCACATCCACTAGCGGGACTATGATAATAAGGACAGACCATAACAAGTGCTGCCGAAATGTAGAGAAATTGGAATCTTCGTACACTGCTATTGGGAATGTAAAATGGTGCAGCCACTTTGGACAACAGTTTGGTGGTTCCGCAAAAGACTAAACATAGAATTACCATATGATCCAGCAAACCACTCCTAAGTATAAACCCCAGAGAAGTAAAAACGTATGTTCCCACAAAAACCCTGTGCATGAGCATTCATAGTATCAATACTCATAACAGCAAATAAGTAATAACAACCTAAATCTCCATCAATGAATTAATGGATAAAATGTGATACAGTCACACAATGGAATATTATGCACCATAAAAAATGAAGTACCGAACCTCTGCAGTGTGAATGAGCCTTGCAGACATGTTAAGAAATTTTGTATATTGTATGATTGTGTTTACATGGAACATCCAGAATCGGCAATTCTACAGAGACAGGAAGGAGACGAGAGGTTGCCTAGGGCTGGGAGGGGTGGGGGGAGCAAATGGAGATTGACTGCTAATGAGGACAGGGTTTCTTTATGGGGTAATGAAAATAGACTAAAATTGATTGTAATGGTTGTACAACTCTGAATACACTAACAGCCATTTGAATGATACACTTGAATTGGGTGAATGGTATAGGGTCTGCATTATGTCTCAATAAAGCTATTTTAAAAAAGAAAACAATAATCACTCACAGATCTGCTGTTTGGGCAGGGCTCAGTGGGGAAGCCACACCTGTTTCCCAGGGTCTGAGAGGTGATGTTAAAGCTAGAGGCTAGAATCACCTGGAGATTAATTCACTGTTTATGCTGACGTCTGCTGGAATTGAACAGGCACACGTGACCTCTCTATGTGGCCTGGGCTTTCCCTTGCAGCATGGCAGCTGGCTTCCAAGCACCCCAAGATGCTTTTTTTGAGACAAAGTTTTGCTCTGTTGCCTGGGTTAAAGTGCAGTGGCGCAATCATAGCTACTACAATCTTGAACTCCTGAGCTCAGGTGATCCTCCTGCCTCAGCCTTCCAAGTAGCTGGGACTACAGGCATGCATCACTGGACCCAGCTAATTTTTGTATTTTTCGTTGAGAAGGAGGTCTCACCATGTTGCTCAGACTGGTCTTGAACTCCTGGCCTCAAAAACTCCTCCTGCCTTGATCTCCCAAAGTGCTGGGATTACAGGTGTGAGCCACTGTCCTTGGCCCTATATATGGTTTTTGTTAATTTCAAAACAAAGAAGGGAGAAGGAACAAAAAGATCTAAAAGAACAGAGTTGGGTCTAGAAAGCATCAAGCATATCTAATCATCCTGAAACTAAGGAAACTGGTGCATAGTGTATAAAAGAATGGAGAGAGAGGCGGTGTGCATTTTGTACATGGGCACCCATGAGGAAGGAGCTACTGAAGCTTAGGGCTGGCGGGAGGGCTTCTGGGCTGATTCGCTCACTTCCGGTGATTCTGGCTGCTGTTCTGGTGATTGGGGTGGATGTCACCAGCGTCTCACATCTGGAATTCTGAGCACGTTGCAGAAGCAATAGGAAGGTAAGAGCATCAGGCTGCATAACTGCTTATGAACAAGTGCATTTCTGCTCCACAGGTTTTTAGTTTAGTAAGGCTATTTTTACCACGACATTGTGCCCCACCAAAATGTAAGCATATCACCACTGTAGAGAAACAAATTTTCTCAATGTTGAACTTTATAACTGAATAAAATAGCATTCAGAAGTGTCAGATGCTTCACCTTTGTCAAAGCCAACTGCCAAATATTATTTTATTCTGTGAATTGAATGGAAGAAAAATTTAATTATTGGAATTAACTAATTTTAAAATTTGAATTGGCAAGCTGGGAGTGGGGCTGTCAGGGTGGGAAGTGGCGCATGTCTCCTTAGTGTGAGAGAGGGAATCCCTTGGGGCTGCTTTCCTGGGGGCCGGCACCTCCTCCTCGTGCTCAGATCCGTGTCCTCGTTCTCTGTCCTTTCCCTCCGTGGATATTATCATGATTCTCTGGGCAGGGCGTTGGGGGCCTGGGGTGTGGATCCCTGCTCTCCTGCCAGGCCTTTTTCTCCCAGGTCTCTTCCCTGGGAAGATCTCGCCCCCTACCCACAGCAGAAGAGGAACCCTGGACTGGGACTTGGGCAACCGGGACTTGGTTTGACTACTGGCTGGCCCTGGCATCTTGGGCAAAATAAATGTTTTGTAAACTCTTGACAATAAAAATTGTCATCTATGTGTTGTCATAGTTGAGCGGCTGCTGGGGCCAGCCTTCTTCTCTTTTCTGACTTTTTGTTGGCCCATGGTTAAAAGCCACCCCTTTTCAAGTACCATTCCTGGGGGCAACTTTCTAAACTCTTACAGCTTTCTTTCCCTTTGGCAGTTACTGTGGTATCTCTAAATCATACACTTAATTTATCACATTTAGAAGTCATCTGTGGATTGCTAGAGAGCTCCTAATCTTTCTAAACTTACGGAAGCCAAGTCTCCAAGGTTAATTTCTGTGTACAATATGATTTACTTGCTTGCTTTTTGTTTTCTCCCCTTGGGAGGAGGGCAAAAGCAAGGAAGGCTTTGTGCAAAAAGGCACCAGTGCTAGCTTTCTGAAACAGCCAAGAACTCAAACAGCAGTGTCTGCTAGATACCAGATCCATATTGTATGCACTGCTGTGATTTAAATCCTTATCTGGCACTGCCTCCTGGGGTTCTGATAATCCTGGCCCAGTTTAGGAAACATTGTCCCAAGTGCTGGTTCTAAAGCTTTCACACTGCTGGGGCCACGGCCTCACCCTTGGAGAATCAAGGCCTGTGGGTTCCCTTCTGTTCTGTGCAGTTTGCAAAGCCCAGCCACACCCTACCTCCCTTACACTTGGCACTCAATGTGTGGGGCTGGGAAGGGTGTTTCCATTTATCACTGAGTAGATAAGAGCAGGGAGGGGAGGTGGCTGTGCCAAGGCCACAGAGCCAGGACTGGAGCCTAGGGCGTGTCACGGGTCCTTCAGCCACCCGGGGCACACAGGTGTGTTGCTGCAGGTACTCAAGGGCCCTGAGTTGGGGCATTCTTGCCCCCTGTAGCCCCTGCACTCACCCCATACTATAAACAGTGCCCCAATGAGGGGCCCAGAAATCTGTATGCATCCTGACACTCAAATGTAAGACCTGCACTTCAGACAACACTGGTCCCTCAGTGCTTCAGGCTCCCTCCTCCTCCTCGTGGGGTACAGGTGGCTGCCCTGGGGTGACCTCAAGGTGCTGACCCTTAACCACCCTCCCCACATCCCCAGCATCTGGAAGCATTTCAAAGCCACTGCCCTGGTGAAGGCCCTGTAGGCTGCTTATGGCACCAGCGCCCTGGGCATGACCTTAGCTGCCTGTGATGGACGTACCACTACTCACAGCTGAAGGTAACCAGCTGACCCTGGGTGCTCGGCTTCTGCTTTTAAATTTTGGGGGGCACTGTCCCATTTCTCAAACCCCTCTCCAACTTGGGCATCATATAGTAACAGTTGTCCTTTGGTGAGCACCTGCTAAGGGCCAGCCCCAAAACAACATGCTTCACTAACTTCCATAGCACTCTGCAGAATAAAGGAAGTTTAAAGCTGACAGGCCAGGTTTACTCAGCTGCTGAGTGGCTCTGAACTCGGGTCTATCTGCTACTTGACTGTCTGCAAGCAGTAACCAGAGCCCAGATCTTGGCAAGGGCGTGGCTGGAAGGGGTGAGTGGTCACTGTGCAGAAGTGTGTCAAAGCCTGGCTGTTCCCCCTTGCAGGGTGCCACCAGGGATGTGATCATTCTAGCCACTGTGGAAAGACCCCTGGAGCCAGCTGTTGCAGATGCCTTTGACTAAGCCTGGTACCTGGTTGCCCACAAATGTCCCAACTACTTCCGCTAGGTTTAGGCCTGACTCGAGGTGCAGAAAGCACTGTTTGTCACCTCTATCATCCTCTCCCTCTTGCCAGTTTTGGCATTAGGCTGATTTAGCCAGTTCTTTCCCTCATCCCAGTTCGCAGATTTCCATTTCCTGTTGAATAAGGCTGGCACCTGACCTGGTGTCCACAGGCTGCTTCCTGCTGTCCTTCCTCAAGGCTTGGTGTGAACGGGGCAGGAGTGTGGACTGAAGTCTGAAGTCTTCACAGGACAGAGGCAGTGGGTGTTGGGGACCCACTGCCCCCAGGGTGCAGCCTGACTTTCCAACAGTGGGGCTGGAGGTGACCCTCTTCTATGCACGAGAGAAAACAAAGATGGTCCTATTCCCTGAAGTTTTTCTCTTGTTCAGAACTGCCTTCACTAAATACTCACAAATAATGTGGCAAAATCTATTAGAGTCAGCAAGAATAAAACCTCCCAACATGCTGTGGGACACTTTCAACACTGGCTCTCAGCTCCAGCAGAGACTTTACTCCTGTCTTAGCTAGAGTCTCCTGTCTTCCTGGCATCCACCAGATCCTCAGCCCTGGTCTAGGAGGGTGTGGGGGTATGAGGGGCGTGTGTGTGGAGGGGGAAGGGCAGCCAGGGCCGGAGGAGAAACCCCAGCTCTGAGGTGTGCTCTCAGCCTCTCCAGAGCCCGCTGTCACAGTGGTCCCCCGGGAGCCGCGGGCAAACTGGCTGACAAGGTGAACGAAGGGAATCTGGGGACTCCAAACAGAAGCACAGATCCAAAGGCCTTTTTTTTCTAAGAAAAGTTCCTTTTGTCGTCTCCAGGGAGACACCCCGTAAAGTGTCATTCTTTACAGGAACACAGTGCCCATCACCCTCCCGTCTTCATCCACATCCAAACAAAGAGCTCTCCCCGCGGAGGGGCGGCGGCAGTCCTGCCTGGTCCAGCAACCCGCACCGCGGTGTGGGGAGGCCCTCAGCCCTGGGATCCCCTCAGTCACTGTCGTCCTCTGACTCTGACTCTTCTGCAGACTCGGATGCGCTCTCTGGCAAGTCATCTCCTAGCGGCTGAAACCTCCCCGACTGTGCGTCCCACATGTATTTGATGGTCACCTTGAATTCAGCCATCTCATACCCAAAAAGCTTCTGCAAGAGATGAGGGAGACAAAGAGTCAGGAGGAAGGAGTGTAATCAGAAGGACAGAGCAAGGTTATCAGCAGGCAAAGCAGCCGTCCCTCCTGCCCGAGCCCTCGAGGGGCCGAACTTACCAGGACACGGGCCTGCTCTGGGGTGAGCACGTCGCCCTCTTTGCACACCTCGTAGTCGGACAGCAGGGTAACCACACCTGCAGTGGGATGGTCCCAAGTTACTTGTGGCCCAGAAACCCGCAGAGCCCTCTGCCCCTGCTGAGCTGGAAGAATCCAGTAGGCCAGCTGCTCCCCTCCCACACCGGCAGCGGTGCGTGGTCCCTGCTGTCCCGAGTGCCGTGTTCTGGCTGTAAGCTACTGTCCACTTTCACCCCAACTATGAGGTGGGCACTCTTAACCCCACTTCCACATGAGAAAACGGAGGCTGGTAGAAACAACGTGCTCAGCCAGAGAGGGGAGCGCCTGGAAGCCTGTGCTCTTGGGCCCCAGGCTGGGACCTCTCAGCTGCAGGGACTGCCCATACCTCTCCGGAGGGTCGTGGGCAGGCCCAGCTGCCTCAGCTGCGGCTCCATGGAGTGGGGGAACTGCTCCAGGGGCCCCGGATCCAGGCTCACGGTGAAAGTGGCTTTGTTACCAGCTCGGGCGAAGTCCATTTCTGTGTATTTCGTGAACCACCTTAGGGAAATGAGAAGTGGCAGGAGAGGAGCTTCTTGACTGACCCACAGCCCACCCGGTGCCCCATGGCCCTGGGCTGTCCCTCTGGTCCACCCTGGCTGCTCGTTGGCAGCCAGCCCAGAGCACTGTGCTGGAGAGGACAGAGATGGCTCTGGTCATGGGCCACCAGTCTCATAGTAGACTTCTAGGAACCAGTGTCAACCCAATGCCTCATACTGGATAAAGTCCCCGCATTATTCCTTCCCCAGAATCCCCTTTCTCTCCCCCTCCATTCCTCAGAATCGCTTACTCATTCACTTCCTCCTTTGAGCGGTTGGTGAAAAGGAGACCAACTTCACCCCTCAACTTCTTGCTGACCTACAAATCAAAAGTGAGGTCAGTTTGGTCACATTAGAGCGATGGTTTTTGCTGGGGGCATCTGACATTTCTTGTCACAGCGCGGGAGGGAGAGGCAAGAGGAGGGCCATTCCTTGGGTCTGGAGGTCAAGGGAGAAGCCAGAGCTCTGAGCTAGGCCATGCTCGCCCTGACCATGGGCCAGCTGGATGGCTGGGAGGGGTGTCACGCAGGAGCAGCAGGAGAGAAGGCTGCTCTGCTTGGGCCCCTCCCAGTGAGGGCCAGCCACCCACCTGGTGCAGGTTGTCTTTGTACTCGTCAGATGGGCTCCGACCCAAGGCCACCATCATCACCTTGTTTTTGCCAAAGAACATCCTACCAAGAAAGAAGGGTTTATGAAGGTAGTGCCCTGCCCTCCCCTTCCCTCAGCTAAATGCAAACCAGCTCCAGTCCCCAAGAGCCCACAGTGAGCCCAGGCCGAGGCTGCTGTGTGGCAGGACATTATGGCCAGAGGCTTCTACTTCTCTACACTGTGCACCCACACTCTGTCACCAGTCCAAGGTCCCCTTTGTTATTTTCCCACCCACAGAGCCCTGACATTGTCAACATTTTGTAACATTCTGTAACAATCCTCCCCGATCTACAGAGGAGGCACATTTAACAGCCGGAATCAGAACAGTGCAGCAAGAGACAAATCACGAGAGCCACATGGATTCCGCAGTCTGCTCTTGGGTCACTGTCTTGTGTCCTGGTGCACACACTGACATTCTGAACGGTGTGATGCTCCTAATAAAAGGCCCAGACTCCAGGATTGAGGGGCCATTTCCCCTGAAAGGATCCTTCCTCAAACATTGCCTGGGTAACTACCAAGTCCTGTCCCCTGGGAGCTGACAGCAGTTTGACAGTTAAAAAGAACTGCTCTTCAGTAGGGGATGGTACTTTGTCCTTATTAAGGTACCACCTGCAAGACACAGGTACCTGAGGGGTCAGACATTGCTTCTGTGAGCAGCCTGGCTCCTTCCCCACTCAGAAGGGCCCTCATCCCACTGCTCACCGGCTGTGCTTCCAGGCATTCCGGATGTCCTTCAGCTTGCTGTTCCTCATGTTGGCCACAGAGAAGATGAAAAGGTACTTGTAGGTGTCCACACATTTCCGAAGCTGTGGGATAATTCACGAGGCTCTGGAGTTCAAGGTGCAGCACAGGTGGAGCACTACTCTGGCCTCAAATGGAAAGAATCTGCTCTAGGCCCCTAATGACTGTGGAAAGCTGGAGAGGCTTCTGATCCGGCTGTTTCCCTACCTCCATTACTGAAACCAGGACCACCAACTACAAGGGAAGTGGAGCCATGGATCTAGGCTCCACACTACTTTCTGACATATCTGCTATCTGTGACCCAAAGCAGAACTGACTGTTAACTGTTAACCTAGAAACTTATGCAAACATATGGAGTCTCATTATGGTGGTCTCAAGGAATGGAATCTTTGTGTAGGAGACTCTGTGCTCACTTGTCCTGTGGTCCAGACTGGCAGGCCACAGGTAGTACGGACAGCAGGTTGGTATAAATTCCCTAGCCTTTTGACATTGGGCAGGTTAACAAACCTCTGTAAGCACTGGCGACCCTAACTGCAAAACACCGATAACATCACCTAGTTCTGGCCTCACAGGGATGTTATGAGGGTGGACTGGAACAATACTCATGAAACACTGAGAACGGCGCAGGGCACAGAGTAAGAGCTCAATCAAGGCTGGAAACCACCACTGTGGGAGTTCTTACTGGTGCTGCCGCCAGAGGGAAAAGGGCTGGATCAGCAGCTTGGTGGTTTTTTTTTTAACAGTATGTTTCCCTGGCAAACAGTCCTATGCTCAACTTTACAAAACAAACATAAGCTCTAGAAAAATAAAAAGAACAAGCTCTTACCTCTTCTATGAGGTTCTGTTTCAGTTCCAAGCCTTTCTTGGCAGTTTTGGTTAAGGAAACTAATACAAAGAAGAGACATGATGAGAGATGAACCTGGATGCACTACAGACTTATATTCTTCCCCTTTGATAGCCCAGCTGGACCCAGCTATTATGAGCAAAGAGTTCGTTGCCATCACTTCTGGTATGCAAAACTATTCTCAGGGTCCACAGAGCAGCTACTCTCTAGCATTCCTTGGTCTAAAGATCCCTTGACACATCTCCTGCTACTTACACAAACCAGGAGTTCCTTAGCCCCTTAGACTAATCCAAAAATCTCTTCTGCAGCGTGGAGGTGGGGCTTGTTCCTGCTGTTGGAATGCTCTCAGTGGCAGACTTCGCCTGTGCTGCGGAACGATGAGTCTGGGGACTGAATCTCTTATGTATTTGCACTTCTGTTTTGCAATTTGGACCTGAGGATGTAGCAAGGCCTCTTTGGGGCCCAATTTTCCCCCCACTCTGCAGAGTTTGCCAGATCTGACTTGGGACCCTTCCACAGAATCAAATTGTCCCATAAACACTTAACAGAGCACCAACTAGGCTGGGGGCAGTGGCTCCTGTCTGTAATCCCAGCTACTTGGGAGGCCGGAGGACTGCTTGAGGCCAGGAGTTTGAGACTAGCCTGGGCAACACAGTGAGACCCAGACAAACAAACACAAAAAACCCAGAGCATCAACTGCAAAGCCCTGGGTGCCCTCAGGAAGGGGCCTGGCCTCCTCCTCTTCACCTTGCCTGGCACTCACAGTCCCTCCTCACAAAGCACATACAAAGGCAATCACACAAGTCAGTAGCAAGTGCAGCAGAGGAGGGCAAATGAAATATGGCAGGCCACTTTCCATCATCTGCACTGCTATTCCCTTGGCCCAAGCTAGCATCACCCTCTTTTGGACTACTGCTGGCCTCACCGCTTCCATCCTTGCCCTCCACCACTATCTTCCCCAGGCTGTTCTCAACAAGACAACTAGAGTGACCCTTTAAAGGTAAATCACATCAACCTTCTGCCTGAGCTCTAGGATGGCTATGCACTCCACCTGCGTGTGAAAGCCAATTCCTTACCTATGAAGTCCTGCCCTCTCTGCCCAACTCCCCTCCCTCAACTATATCTGGCACACTCTGATCCAGCCACACCGTCCCAGAACATGGTCAAATATACTCCCACTTTCGAGCCTTTGCACTCAACGTTCTCTCTAATTGGAACATCATCTGCCCAGAGAATTCCACAAGATGCTCACTTCCTGTCTTCAGGTTTCTGCTCATTTGTCACATCAATAAGAGACCTTTCCTGATACTATTATACAAAATATCTCTCTGACCTTTTCTTTACTCCACCTGACACGCTACACTTGTTTAATTTTTGGTGTTTTGGGGGATTTCCCTGATTAAACCAGGCTTGCTATATCCTCCAACGCCTAGAAAATGCCAGTCCCCTAAGTATTTACTGAATATGCTAGGGTGAGAGAGATGCCAACACAGCAGAGGTACTCACAAATAGCCTCTCAATAGGTGCCCTACGAACTGACAGCTGAGGCGGGGACAGCTATACGAAGAGCAGAGCACAAGCATGCGAGGCAGAAGCGACTGCAGTTAGAAAGCGCCAGACGCGAGAACAAGCCTTTGCTCAAAGAAGGTAAAGGGGAAATGCGGGGCGGCGGTAGCGCAGGGAGCGAAGGAAGGTGTGCACCGGCGGAGGTGGGAAAGAAGCCGAGGCGACAGCAGGTACAGTCTGGTTAGGTAGGTGCTGTCTCCCGGCCCAGGAGGCCTGGCAAGGGCACTGGAGGGTGAGCAAAGGAGTCCTCGCCGTCTTGCCCTAACCAGGCTCCATCACCCTCCGGCGACTCCGCCGCCCCAAAGCTCCCACCCAGTTCGCCGCAGCAAGGCCGCGGACACCTCGCAGAGTCCTGCGGTGCCTTCCTGTGTCCTGGCCTCCCCGAAGCCCCCATCGCGGGTTTGGCAGCCAGCCCGCGGGGAACCCCGTGGGGTCCCGACGCCCCTTCTCCCACCTTTCTTGTCGCGCTTGGATTTGGGCATCGCGCTGAACACACGTGCGGCGGAAGGCGGTGCGGCCCGTTAGGACCCTGCCGCGCGGGGGCCTCTGGGACGGCCCTTGGAGGCTGCCCTCGCGAGTGCCTGACCCAATCCGCGGTACAACCGCGTCTCCCGGCCGGGCCGCCGCTTGTGCTTTATCTGGCGTCTGCCGGGCGACTTTCTACGCGTGCAGGCGGCCTCCGAGTCCCGAGCGCCCCACCGAGGGCCTAGCGCGCAGCCTCAGCTCTATGGTTCCGCGGAGGCGGAGCCTGCGGCCCGGTGCATGCCGGGTCGGCGGCGGGCGCTGGCTGTATTCCCATCATGGCGGCGGCGTTGGTTCCCAGTTTCTGGCTTTGGGCTGCGTTGCTTTTCCCTGCGGCCGCGGTCTACGAAGACCAAGTGGGCAAGTTTGATTGGTGCGTACGTGTGGAGCTTATTTGGGAAATATGTGGTTGTTTTCCCAATACCTATCTCCTACCTGCTAAAGGGAGGCGGTTTACCGTGCAGCAGAACCGGCCACATAATTTGCTGGACCCCGTGCAAAATGCAAATGTGGGGCTGTCTGCTCAAAGATTATCAAGGGTTTTAAGACGTCGACAGCAGAGGTTTAAATCAAGTGTTGGGGTCATTCTAAGCCTATCCTTGTGTGATTCTACGGGTTATACACCTGTGAAGCCAGCCCTGCCGTTCAGGCATGCTTGGGGTTCGGGTCAGAGGTCACTGATTTCGACCTTTCCTGTCAGGTCCCATTTCTGTGACTGTCAAGTCTCTGGTCTACCGGGTGTCAGAGGTCGTCAGCCCTCAGTGAACTATCATTGCTACTCGAATTGGTGTCTTATAGGCATGTAAACAAGGGGTTTCGTCTTGTAAGTCCTAAGTCTTGTAAGTCCTAAACTGTGTCCTTTTCCCCCCTCCCTTCAGCCTAGCCCAGCCCTAGACTCACAGCATGGTTGCCCCAAACTCTAATCAGCCAGGAGATGCCAATCATCCAATCATTCATTCACTCTTCCTTAATGTCCTGAAGTCAGCTTTTGTTTGAACGTCCATTTTGCCATTTACAGGTTGTGTAATCTTGGGAAAGTGCCTTAACCACTCTGTACTTTGGTTACCTGGTCTTTGGAATGGGTTTTCTAACAGTCCATGATCTCCTACAGTAGTTGTGAGAATGAATGAAATAACCCCATTGAATTATTTAGCACAATGCCTGGCTCATTAAGTGCAATCATTAAATATTACCTGTTATTATTGCTATTTACACTTTGTCCTTCAGGGGCCATCTCAGATATCTCCTCCTCTGTGAAGTATTTTCTGTCTTGGAAAAACTGATTCATGTCTGTGTTGAATGCCTGTTGTGCCAGACAGTGCTGTCATATACAGCATGTTACATTTTTTTTTTTTTTTTTGAAACAGAGTCTTACTCTGTTGCCCGGGCTAGAGTGCCGTGGTGTCAGCCTAGCTCACAGCAATCTCAAACTCCTGGGCTCAAGCGATCCTACTGCTGGGACTACAGGCATGCCCCACCATGCCTGGCTCATTTTTTTCTATATATTTTTAGTTGGCTAATTAATTTCTTTCTATTTTTAGTAGAGTCGTGGTCTTGCTCTTGCTCAGGCTGGTTTCGAACTCCTGACCTTGAGTGATCCACCGTCCTCGGCCTCCCAGAGTGCTGGGATTATAGGCGTGAGCCACCACGCCTGGCCAGCATGTCACATTTTTAGTGATATGTACAAATATTCACAATGTCATACGTGCATATTGCACATATACAGCAGGGGATATGTGTATCTAATTTAGCAGAATACTAGGTATATGAAATTTTCAAATTGAAAAATAAACACGAGATACAGTCGTGTGTCGCTTGATGACGGGGATACAGTCTAAAAAACGCATTGTTGTGCAAACAGCAGAATATTACACAAACCTAGATTGTATAGCCTGCTACACACCTAGGTTATGGTGTAATCTATGGTATATAGATTACACCATATGGTATAATCTATTGCTCCATGAACAGCACATTACTGCAGCAACTGTAACACAATGCTAAGTATTTGTATATCTAACTTATCTAAACAGAAAAGCTACAGCAAAAATACTGTATAAAAGATAAAAAGGTACACCTGGTGTAGGTTACCTAACAGGCATGGAGCTTGCAGGACTGGAAGTTGTTCTAGGTGAATCAATGAGTGAGTACTGAGTGAATGTGAAGGCCTATGACATTACTGTATGCTACTGTAGATGTTATAAACATTGTACCTTTAGGCTACACTAAAATATAAAAATATTTTTCTTCAGTAACAAATTAACCTTAGCTCACTGTAACATTTTACTTCATAACCTTCTTTGATTTAAAATTCTTTTGCTCTTTGATTTTAAAAAAAAAAAAAAAAAAAAAATCAAACTTAACCTTAACACAAACACACTTGTACAGCTATATAGAGAATATTCTTGCTTTTTGTTGAGACAGAGTCCTCACTTTGTTGCCCAGGCTAGAGTGAGTGCTGTGCGTCAGCCTAGCTCACAGCAACCAAACTCTTGGGCTCAAGCCATCCTTCTGCCTCAACCTCCCAAGTACTGGACTACAGCATGCGCACCATGTCCTAATTTTTTTTTTTTTTTTTTTTGAGACAGAGTCCACTTTATGCCCAGGCTAGAGTGAGTGCCATGGCGTCAGCCTGGCTCACAGCAACCTCAGTCTCCTGCTCAGCGATCCTACTGCCTCAGCTCCGAGTAGCTGGGACTACAGGCACGAGCCACCATGCCGGCTAATTTTTGTATATATATTATTTAGTTGTCAATTAATTTCGTTTCTAGTTTGGTAGAACGGGGTCTCGCTCAGGCTGGTTTCGAACTCCTTGACCTGAGCGATCGCCCGCCTCGGCTCCCAAAGTGCTAGGATTACAGGCGTGAGCCACGCGCCCGGGCTAATTTGTATATATATTATTTAGTTGGTCCATTAATTTCTTTCTAATTTTTAGTAGAGACAGGTTCACTCAGGCTGGTTTCGAACTCCTGACCTCGAAGAGTCCGCCTGCCTCGGCCTCCCAGAGTGCTAGGATTACAGGCGTGAGCCACCACGCCTAGCCAGTCATGTGTATTTAATGTGCTAGAGATTGCAGTACTTCATTAACAGCAATGTTGCAAGCAAAACATCCTCTCTACTCGGTAGTCTACTGTGTTAGGCTGGCTATATTCTCTTTTACGCTTAGGTGGTAGTGTTGAAAATGATGGGTATGCCCAAGGAAGAGTAGATGCAAGATTCAAATGATTCCTTAATATGTGTGGGCTAGAAAGGCTGGAGAGAACAAAGGCCTGACCCAATCTATGGAGTCTGGTTGAAGTTTTGCACACTTTTTTCCTCCAGTGGTCAGTGAAAAAGGAAGGAATGTGGATTTGTGTGCCATTGAGGCAGGTTTGTGTCTCTTCTTTAGTTTGTAGGCTGAGTGGCTCAGTCCCATCATCGTGAAACAGAGAAGACAGAGGACCATAATGTTGTTCTGTGGTTTAAACAGTATCTTCCTGCGTGTCACTTTTCTTAAGTAAATATTGTGCTCCAGTGAGAAGAAGACCCATTTGTATTTCCAGATCTATTAAGGGGTAATTTCATCTCTTATTTTCCTTTACTCTATTTATTGCAGGAAATCTTGCTTAGTTCAGATTCTCCTTGGAACTAATATTCTTTCTCTTCTTTTTTTTTTTTTGAGTCAGAGTCTCACTCTGTTGTCTGGGCTAGAGTGCCGTGGCATCAACCTAGCTCACAGCAACCTCAGACTCCTGGGTTCAAGCAATCCTACTGCCCTCAGTCCTCCCAAGTAGCTGGACTACAGGCATGCGCCACCATGCCAGCTAATTTTTTCTATATACATTAGTGCCAATTAATTCGTATTATAGTAGAGACGAGGTCTTGCTCTTGCTCAGGCTGGTTTTGAACTCCTGACCTTGAGCAATCCACCCGCTTCGGCCTCTCAAAGTGCTAGGATTACAGGCGTGAGCCGCCACGCCCGGCCAGTATTTCTTATGTGTCCTAAGATGGGTGTGCTGGTGATAATCCTGTGGTTTGTCTTTTTTCCGAGCATTTTGTGCAGTGATGATTGTGGTCCCTTATGTTTTCCTGCCCTCTTTTCCTCAGGAGACAGCAGTATGTTGGGAAGCTCAAGTTTGCCTCCTTGGAATTTTCCCCTGGATCCAAGAAATTGGTTGTGGCCACAGAGAAGAATGTGATTGCTGCATTAAATTCTCGCACTGGGGAGATCTGTGAGTGAGCTATGTAGACGGGTAGGCTTGGGGGTGGGAAGGCTGACTGTTGTGAAGCCTAGTGGCCCGTGGCTTGCTAAGTCTGTCTGGCTGCTTTCTGAGTTAGAGAAAAAGATGCCTCTCTTTGTGGATTCTGATACTTTTTTTCCAGTCTTACCATCTTTGAATATTTAAGATATTCTTATAACTGGCCTTTGCAGTTCATTCCCTCAGCCTGAGTCCTGAATGTCCTTAAATAAGATATTGCTGCAAAAAACATACTCTTCTAGTTTGCAGTCAAGGCTAAGATGGCCTTGCTTAATTACCTGTACTGGCTGGATATTTTTAGGCACTACAATTGTGGAAATAGAATTTACAATCACTATTTTTCTTGTGAATAGGATGGATTTTGTTAATCTTGTCATTGTTTGTTTATATGTTTGATGGGATAGTAGCGGGGCCTGGATAGTAGTGGCTCCTCTCAACACCCCCTCCCCTAATTACCAGTGAGTAGGATTGGCTCACTGCTAGTTGGCTGTATCCCTTCCCTCCCTTGAAATAAAATTGGACGCCACTGTGCAAACAAAGAGCTCTTCAGTTATCTCTTAGTCTTCTTGGATGCCTCTCTTTGGTCCATAGTAATGTCTGACTTTCCTGTCTCTCAGTGTGGCGCCATGTTGACAAGGGCACGGCAGAAGGGGCTATGGACGCCATGCTGCTACACGGACAGGGTAAGCACGTTCCTGCTGGGTCTCCATCATGACTTCTTGTCCCATTCCTTGGTTCCTTCCCCTGTACAGGGTTTGGTAGGGAAAGGGGAAGGGGTCCTCCTGGCAGTGAAGGTACGTGTTTAACGTTTATTTGCACCCATAAGTCAGAGGTGAGGCCACTGCTCACAAACCCTAGACAGTGACAGCAGGTTTGGGAAATGACTTCACCATGCTTTTGTCTTTTCCAGATGCAATCACTGTGTCCAATGGAGGCCGAATCATGCGTTCCTGGGAGACTAACATCGGGGGCCTGAACTGGGAGATAACCTTAGACAGTGGCAGGTAGGGGAAGAAACTGGATTTTATCTTGACTGAGTTAAAGGCTTTGTTGGAACACAGATCTGCATAGAAAGCAACTCCAGGCCTTGTGGTTTTTTTCCCAGGGACCACTGAAAAGCCAAAAAATATTGAACGTGAATATCAAATGCCCAGTTCTGGATGTGCCTGAGGTTATTGAACACGTGTTTACTTAGCCTATGTTTATTGAGCACCTGTTAGATGCAGAGCTCTGTGCAAGGTGCAGTGGTTGTTTTTGTACTTGAATGCTTTTCCTAATCTTAACGTGACTTGTGAGTTTTTAAATGTTCTAGATATAAGAATATAGTATCAGACTTTCAGGGTTTCAGTTTTATGTTTAGAGAAGAGCTTGAGCTAATATTACATCTCTACTAAAGTTGTTTAAATGATAGGGTAATTTGCATTAGTTATACATCTTCTGATAGCAGTTCACTTAGTATACCTGGTGAGGCCCTAGGCGATGGCAACACACATGAATATGAGACTGTGTCTGTCATCAAGGAGTTTGTTCACCATCAGCTGGGGAGGCAGGCACATAGCCCACTGATGGCAGTATCATGTAGTAGAAGGTTGGCCCAGTTGCTATGAAGTCCCAGGGGAGGGAGGGAACAACCCTTAGGAGATTTGGGGGGTTTCAGGGAGGCAGTATGGCCGAATGGTTGCAAGTACAGACTCTTAAGTCGGCTAATGAGAGGCAGAGCCAGGATTAGGACCTGGGTATGTTTGACCCAAAGCCTATTTCCTTACCTCCTGAGCAACAGTGGTAGTGTTCTGGACTGTGTCCTCCAGCCCAAGGCTCTGCAGGTGTGGGCATTGCTCAGCCTGTGCCTGTGCTCAGTTTCCAGGCACTTGGGCTAGTCGGCCTGCAGGAGTCAGTGAGGTATGTCGCGGTCCTGAAGAAGACGACTCTTGCCCTTCATCACCTCTCCAGTGGGCACCTCAAGTGGGTGGAACATCTCCCAGAAAGGTAAGGCTGCCTCTCACAGCGACAGCTGCCTCGCGCTGCTCTCTACAAGACCCTGGTTTTCCTTGAGGGTCCTGAAGCATTTGTTTTGACCTGAGCCTGCCTCGTGTTGGTATCTTGTGGAGTGTGTTACACTCGCTGGATCTAGGCCTGAACCCAAAGGCTGGGGCTACATCTGGAGTTTCTCTGCAGTGGGGAGAAAACTCACTCTGGGACACTAGAGACAGCAAGGAAGCCACTCACTTTCTCATGGTCATGGGACTTGGGCTTTTTGACTTCCAGTTCAAGTTAGACTGAGCCTTTCATTTGTATTAAGAATTAGAACAACTTGAGGAGAGCCCAGGGTAGGGCTGAGGGAAGGAGGTTTGAGATGGTTTCCAGAGGTCCTGGTGGTGGAAATCACTGAGGCTGGGGAGGAGCAGGAGGGGTGCCAAGACCACATGCGGGCATTTTCAAAGTTTGGAGCAGGGCTCAAAACCCCAAATTCCTGCAGGGCCAGGTGCAGGACATCCAAGAGCACACAGGCTGCTGGGGACTGCCGGGAGCTGCAGTGAGCCTGGCCTGCCTCGAGGGGGCACCCGTACCACTGATTGGTGCCCTCCAGGCCTGTGGGTGGCCTGGTGTTGCCACATCTTCTAACTTTAAGAAAAGCTAGAAATCTGATTTTTAAGTATAATCTCAGTTCTAAATGTTGACAACTAATTCAAATTTAAAACGAACAAACAAAATTGAAACTGTATGAGCCAAACGAAACCTATCTGGGATTGCTGGTTACTGACGTCTGGCTGGGGAGTGGCAGCCTGGTTTTGGGAGGCCCCTGAGGATGCCCCTGTGCTAGGGCTACAGCTGTTGCTCTCTGCTTTTTCTTCCCTCTCTAGCGACAGCATCCACTACCAGATGGTGTATTCCTATGGCTCTGGGGTGGTGTGGGCCCTTGGAGTCGTTCCCTTCAGCCACGTGAACATTGTCAAGTTTAATGTGGAAGATGGAGAGATTGTCCAGCAGGTATGGCGGGGCATCCAGCTTGAAGAACCATGTGAATAGGGAGGGGAGTCGAGAGCTGCTTTGTACTGGGGACCAGGGAACATGGCTGGGCAGATGCAAAAGCCACTTATGATCCCTGATCATGATCACTTGCGAGCTGCCTTCTCATCAGACGTTTATTTAAAGTATTTGTATATGATACAATTCTGGGCTGGCTAAGCTAAAAGTTACATTGATCTAGTCACTGCACATAAGTATCTTCTAAGATGATGCTGTAAAATAATGATAGGAAACCACATATGACAAATATAATAGAGAAATACTTATTTGAAGTGTCAGGTATTTAAAATTATTTGGTGTATTTTTCCAGTGACCAGAAAGAAAATCCTGATTTTTTTCCTCCAGGTCTAGGGGCTCCTGGGGGGCCGGGGGTGTGGGGAGCAGGAAGGACTCCTTTTGAACCAACTAGGAAGAACCTTCAAGCTTTGGATGCCCACTGGGATTCTGGCAGTGATACTGCTGATGAGCTAAGACGGAAATGTAAAATCCTTCATGAGTCTCCTGTTGTGATGCCTTTCCCATAGGTCAGGGTTTCGACCTCATGGCTGCAACATCTCACTGGAGCCTGTGGCGTGGTGGATGAGGCTGTCCTGGTGTGTCCTGACCCAAGCTCACATTCCCTCCAAACTTTGGCCCTGGAGACGGAGTGGGAATTGAGGCAGATCCCACTGCAGGTTAGCAGCTACAGCTCCTTCCCCTGGCCCAAGGAATTATTTTCAAGGCTTAGAAAGGTTAGCTTGATTCCCCTGGAGAGTGTTCCAGTGTCACTGCTTCCTTCCCGAACCATGGAGTGAAGTTCAGTCCTCTGGCTGAACTGGTGTAAGGGGAAATGATCCACTCTCCCCTTTGGGGAACTTGAACAGGAGCTTCTAGAGCCACCTGCCATGGCCTAGTTACTTCCCTGGCAAAGTGGGGCAGAGAATGTGAGCCCTGGGGGGGGGTGGGTGGTGTCAGTGTCTTGTTTGCTTCTAGCTCTAACCCTCCTCCTTCTTGCCTCCTAGTCTCTCGACTTAGAATTTGGAAGTGGATTCCAATCCCGCATCCTCCCCACACAGCCCAACCCAGTGGATCCGTCTCGGGCCCAGTTCTTCTTGCAGTTGTCTCCAAACCACTACGCTCTGCTGCATTACCATCATGGGGCCCTGAGTTTGCTCAAAAACTTCCCACAGGTAACTACAGGCAGCATGGTTTCCCAGGATTCTGTAGGATGTAGCCATGACACAGATGCTAGAAGGCAGTGCCTTTGAATCTGGAGACATTGCTCTTAAGCCCAAGATTGATGACACCTTTCCATCAGTGGTTTGAGAGGGGTAGCCTTACAGTAGAAACGGTACTTTTTCTCCTGAGCATGTGTTCCATGAGAAGAAGGGACCCATTAGTATTCCAGTCTATTAAAGGGGTAATTTCATCTTTCTTATTTCCTTTACTTCTAATTGTATTGCATGGAAATCTTGCTTTAGTTCAGATTTCTTCTTGTGACTATTTCTTTCTCTTTTTTTTTTTTTTTGAGGTCAGATCTTCACTTTTGCTCTGGGCTAGAGTGCCGTGGCATCAACCTGCTCACAGCAACCTCACTCTGGGTTTCAAAGCAATTTCTACTGCCTTCAGTCCTCCCAAGTAGCTGGGACTTTACAGCGCATTTGCGCACCCATGCCAGCTAATTTTTTCTAGTATACATTAGTGTATTAATTCTATTATAGTAGAGACGATGTCTGCTCTTGCTTCAGCTGTTTGAACTCCTGACTTGGCATCCACCGCTTCGCTCTCAATGCTAGGAATTTACAGGCGTGAGCCGCCACGCGCTGGCCAGTATTCTTGTGTTCTAAGATGGCGTGTTGCTAGATAATCTGTTGGTTTGTCTTTTTTTCGAGCGTTTTTGCATGTATGATTGTGGCCCTTATGTTTTCTGCCCTCTTTCCTCAGGAGAAGCACGTATGTTGGGAAGCTCAATTTGACGCTTTCTTGGAATTTTTCCCCTGATCCAGAAATTGCCGTTGTGGCCACAGAGAGAATGTGTTGCGCATTAATTCTCGCACTGGGGAGGATCTGGATGGCGTATGTAGGACGGGTAAGGCGTTCGGGGGTGGGGAGGCTGACTTGTGACGAGGCCTAGTGGGCCGGTGGCTTGTGTAAGTCTTGTTCTGGGCTGCTTCTGAGTTAAGAAGACAAGATTTGCCTCTCTTGGTGGATTCTGATACTTTTTTTTCCAGTCTTACCCATCTTTGAATATTTAGAATTCTTCATACTGGCTTTGCAAGTTCATTCCTCAGCCTGTTCCTGGAATCCTTAAAATAGATATTGCTGCAAAAATTACTCTTCTAAGTTTGCGTCAAGGCTAAGATGTGCCTTGCTTTAATTACCTGTTACTGGCTGGCTGGATATTTATTAGGCACTACAATTGTGGAAATAGAATTTACAATCACATATTTTCTTCGTAACTAGGATGGATTTGTTACTCTTGCTCATTTTGGTTTATATGGTTTGATGGATAGTTAAGGCGGGGCCTGGGTTTAGTAGTGGCTGCTCTCAAACACCCCCTCCCTCTAATTACCAGTGAGTAGGATTGGCTCATGCGTCTAGTTGGATTGGTATCCCTTCCCTTCCTTGAAATAATGACGCCACTGGCAAACGAACAAAGAAGTTCACGTATCTCTTAGTCTTTTTGGTGCCTCTTTGGTCATAGTATGGTCTGACTTTCGCTTCTTCTCAGCTGTGGCGCCATGTTTGACAAGGGCACGGCAGAAGGGGCTCATGGGACGGCCATGCTTGCTACGACGGACGAGGTAGCACGTTCGCTGCTGGCGTTCTCATCAGGACTTCTTGTCCCCATTCCTTGGGCTCCATTCCCTGTAGGTTTGGTAGGGAAAAGGGGAAGGCTCCTCCTGGGCCGTGAAGTTACGTGTTAAACGTTATTTGCACCCTAAGTCAGAGGTGAGGGCACTGCTCACAGACCCCTAGGCATCGAAGCAGTTTGGGAATGACTTCACATGTGCTTTTGTCTTTTCAGATGCAATCATGTGTCCATGGGAAGGCATCAATCGTTCCTGGGCAGGATAACATGGGCCCTGACTGGACGATACTTAGACAGACGCATTAGATAAAATATTGTATATCTTATCATCCCTCTTTGTGGTTTGTTTAATATGTATATTCTCTGCTAGTTGTTTAACATGGATAGGTATTGCTTAGTTCAATTCTTCTTTTTTTTTTTGAGACAGAGTCTCGCTGTTGACCCAGGCTAAGAGTGAGTGCCGTGGCCGTCAGCCTAGCTCACGCAGACCTCATCTCCGGGCTTTCAAGCAATCCTTCTGCCTCAGCTCCAAGTAGCCTCGACTACAGCATGCGCACCATTCCAGGTTATTTAGTTAGTTATTTAGTTCCAATTTAATTCTCTTTATTATAAAGTGAGACGGGGTCTTCATTCTTCTTGCTCAGGGCTGGTTAGTCGCAACTTCCTGACCTGGCAAATCCGCCCGCCTCAGGCCTCCAAGTGCTGGATTTACGGGCGTGAGGCCACCGCTGCCGTGGCATTTAAACTCTTCTGATAGCAATTCAAATTGAGTACAACCCTGGTGAGGCCCTAGGCGAATGGCAACACAATGAATATTGAGACTGTGGTTTGTCATTCAAGAGTATTGTTCACCATGCAGGCTGGGGAGGCAGGACATAGCGCACTGATGGCAGTATCATTTAGTAAGAACGGTGGCCCGGTTGCTTATGAAGTCCCAGGGAGGAGGAACATCATAGGTTTGGGGGGTTTCGGGGAGGCAGTATGCGAGGATGGTTGCAATACAGACTTATTGTTACATGAGACGGCAGACCCAGGATTAGGACCTGGGTTATGTTTGACCCAAACCGGCTATTTCCTGTACCTCCTGAGAAACAGTGGTAGTGTCTGGACTGTGTCCCTCAGCCAAGGTCTGCAGGTGTGGCATTGCTTCGAGCCTGTGCCTGGCTGTCAGTTTCCAGCACGTTGTGCTAGTCGGCTGCAGGGTCCAGGAGTATGTCGCGTCTTGAAGGTCATGTGTATTTAATGTGCTAGAGATTGCAGTACTTCATTAACAGCAATGTGCAAGCAAACACATCCTCTCTACTCGGTAGTCTACTGTGTGAGGCTGGCTATATTCTCTTTACGCTTAGGTGGTAGTGTTGAAAATGATGGGGTATGGCCCAAGGAAAGTAGGAGTGCAGATTCAAATGGATCCTTAATATGTGTGGGCTAGAAAGGGCTGGAGAGAACAAAGGCCTGACCCAATCTATGGAGTCTGGTTGGAAGTTTTGCACACTTTTTTCCTCCAGTGGTCAGTGAAAATGGAAGGGAAAGTTGGATTGTGTGCTCATTGAGGGCAGGGTTTGTGTCTCTTCTTTAGTTTGTAGGCTGAGTGCCTAGTCCCATCATCGGTGGAAACAGAGAAGACCAGAGGACCATAATGTTTGTTCTTGTGGGGTTTAGAACAGGTACTCTTCTGCGTGTCACTTATCTTAAGGTAAATATGTGCTTCCAGAGCACGAAACTGAACAAAAGGACTCAGAATCGCGACAAAGAGACCTCTCTAACCCCAGAAAGTCAGCCAGAACAGACTTAGCCACGCCCACGGGCCACTAGGCTTCAAACCGGCAAGCCTTCCCACGGCGCAAAAGCCTACCGTCTACATAGCTCACCACCAGATCCTCCCCAGTGCGCGACACCTGTTAATGCAGCACAGTCACCATTCCCTGTGCCCACAACCAATTTCTTGGATCCAGGGGGAAATTTCCAAGGAGAGGCAACTTGAGCTCGCCCAAACACTACTGCTGTCCCTGAGAAAAGAGCAGGAAAACCATAGATGACCACAATCACCACTGCACCAATGCCTCGGAAAAAAGACAACCACCAGGATTGATCACCCACACACCCATCTAGGACACAATAAGAAATACGCGCCGGCCCGTGCGGCTCACGCCTGGTAATCTAGCACTTTGGAGCAGGCGAACGGCGCCGTGGATTGCCAACAGCCCAGGAGTTCAAAACCAGCCTGGCAAGCGAGCAACAGACCTCTCTCTACTCAGATAAATAGCGGGCGAAAGACAATTCAAGTGCTAACAACTGCGTATACTACGACAACGAAATAGCCCAGGCAATGGGTGGCCATCTCACGAAGTCCCAGCGTACACTTGAACTGCAGCACGTAGGACTGCCTTAACCCAGGGAGCTGCAGGTTGCTGCTGAGCTAGGTTGATGCGCAGCGCGCACTCTAGGCCCAGACAACAGAGTGCAGACTCCTGACCTCAAGAAAAAAAAAAAAAAACAGGACACACAGACACAGAGAGAATAACTCTGCTCCACAAGCGAGAGGTCCACACTACAGAAGGCAAGATCCTGCAATACGAATTAGAAGCAAAGGAAATAAGATGAGATTACCTCCAATAACCCATGACTGGAAATACAATGGTTCCTTCCCTTCACTCG